ATATTATAATTATAATGTCATATTATTAAAATAATTATAATATTATTATAATATCATATTATATAATAAAATAATAATATTAGAGTTATTAGTATAATTATGATATTATTATTATAATATAACTATTATATTATATTATATTATATTATATTAGGAGTATGAATTTTAGATTGAGAGGATTGTAAATTTTAAATTTCATTAGGGATATTATGAGTATTATGAAAGTTTTATTAATTGTACTATCTTGATTTTCGCACAATTTAAAAGCTAAAGTTGTCTTTAAATTTCTTCTAATTTTAACTGTAAATTCTTAAAAAATAATAGAAGTTGATTTTAAGAAAAAAAAAAATACCAAACTAAGCACAGATCTTGTAACACCCTACCAAAAGAGATTTCTATTGGGAAGAAATAAGGTCGTTTCTGAGGTGGGTTTTGTTCTGCTTGAGCTTTCATGTCGTGGAAGATGGGGTGGCATATATATGTGGCTGATTGTACACGTAGCAGATTCTCTGATTTTTGCATTGTGGGAAAAATGTCGTCCTTTATCATCATTTTCTCAGTTTCCCATTTCTTATCAGTTAATTGAAAAAAGACTCTACAATGATTCGACCTCCAAAGGAGGGTTGAATTATTGGACAATGGTGTCAAGAGAGACTTTTGTTGGCTTCTGCCCATGTCTCACGAGTGGCGCAATGTGATTTGAGAGCAGCCATGACATGCATTTTGACATTATCCGAAACGATCATGATCATGATTGTCTTCATCAATACTGTTCCCTTTATTTTCCCAAACGCCTAGAAGCTTATCGTGACCTACAGTTTGTGCGAGGACTTAAAAGTCAGTACCGGTATCATTAAGAGCTGTTTAGTTCTTGAATTATAATTATTTTTAATTTACGTGTATTTTTTATAAAAAAAAATATTATAACGAATCATGAATTATAATTTAAATTATAGTATGAATTCTCTTATTAAACGTATCATAAAGAGATTTATATGGTAGACACTGAAAAAAAAAACTACTGAAAAAATTATGTTTTTAACTATTAGATCTATATTAAAATTTTTTTATTATTTTTTTTATTGATCAATTTTAATTAAATTTAACAGTCAGAAATATATCTACCTATCGATAAAATCAAGGAAGTTATTAACATTAAAGCTTGAGCTAGATAGTTTTTATCTGATTTTTACCATTTAACTTAATATTTATAGCCATTGTCTATTGAGATTACTTATTTGTTTCACAATAGTCTCAATTTCTTTACCAACCATGTTGAATGATGGATCTGTAAAATTGCGATTTCCTTTTTTTTTTTTTTCTCGCTTTCTATTCCTTTAGCTAGATACTTATCACAGAAAAATTGATAAAGAAAATTTTAATTTAATCTGGGGAAAAATAGTGTATTTCACCGTCCAATAACTGCTTTCGAAGCATGCATATTCTAAAGTACTTCACCAGCACAATACCAGTGCATTTATTTATTTATTTATTTGCTAAATGCACAATACCAGTGAATTAGTTATACAGACCAAGATAAGATCATATAACAAGACCAAAGACCAACTTATTATTATTCATTGATAGATATATACATATATATGAACGAGTTTTCAATGAGATGATGATAATCACTCTGGATAGGCCTCGATGATGGATAAAAAGGTAGAAATTCTGATTATTTTGTAGCAAGAAAAACCTCCTTCTTTTAATATTTTCTTCCACTCCTTCTCAGTTCTTTCTTTTCCACCCAAAGAATGTGCAGCCATCAGGAGATCCAATATCAAGCCCATGTCATCAAATAATCCATTGCCTTTTAGATCCAAAACTACATCCACTATAATAACTTTGCCACTTTTCTCTGGTACTGCTTTTCGACAATTTTTCAAAATCTTCACACAATCTTCGTCCATCCAATCATGCATTATCCACTGCCATATAAAGAAATTAATATGTTGACTAGCCCAAAGTGCGTGTATATGTATAGTACAACTAGTAATCAGCCCAAAAGACACGTATATAATTTTGCACATATACAAAATATATAAATTATCTTATATTATCATGTATGTATAGAACGAGTAACATGATATTTATCTTTTATGTATTAATTGGACTGTAACATAATATTTGTTTTATGTAACGCCTTTAAAAAGTTGTAATATTGATCTACAAAAACTAAATTATTTGTTGTTATAACTTTACAAATTCATTATTACACAAAATAAATATACTACTTCATATTTAGGATCGCTCAAGTACACATATGAGGTTTGGCTATGGTCTTTAATTTACAAGGACTGATCCTAGCAACACTTTAACATGTACTTGTAGAAGGCATAAGAATAAATTTCTTATGTATGACAATCAATTTAAATATGTATGACATTGGTCTAGTACGTTTGACGTATTAGTAGGTTAAGTTTTTTTAACTGTTAGATATGCATGTTTTTTGACTTTTACTTAATTTTATGTAGATCTGACGAATAAAAAACTGAACCTACCAGTATGTTAGCGTACCAAAAAAGGTCTTAATAGATAAATATTTTATTTTACCAACTAACTTTTATACATAAATGTAATGCCACACTCCCTTATTCTACACGCTAAAACACTTTAGGACAATTACTTAAGCCGTTGCACACCACGCATATTGTGTGTTTTACAAATATGTAATCATTGCATGTGTAATAGTGGCAAAATATATATTTTTTGAAGAAAATTTATCTCATATAAGTTTTTATTGAACATGTACATAGTTATATAAGTAGACGTTTGGTTTACAGATTTAGAATTATGATTTAAAATTATTCTTAATTTATGTGTGTGTTTTATGAGAGAAAATATTATAGCGAATCACGAACTATAATTTAAATTATGACACGAATCCTCATACTAAATACCAGTGTAATTATTACTGTTCCTAAAAAAAATATTCATCACCTAACAGTGTGTGGTGTGGATGGAGGAAACTGTAATTTGAGATTCAAAATAATTTATTGATGGAGTGCAGGTAATTTTAGACAGAAAGAGAGAGCAGTTAAAGAGGGCTAATTGATAAGCTTGCCTTCATGAAAACAGCATCAGCACTGGGGATGCTCTCAAACATGTCCCCCGCGACATGGCTCACCCCTGCATATACCGGAGCCTTGGAGACAACATGCGGCAGATCAAAATTGATCCCCTTGATGTGCGGATAAGATTTCACGATCTCAGACAGGGCTCCACCGGTCCCACCACCCACGTCGATCAACGACCCCAAACAACCGAACACATGATCACCACACTGACTATCGCTCAGGATTTCCTTCAAAATGATCCTGGCCGTGCATTCCATTGCATCATTACACGCCTTACCGAACTCTTCATTCTCAGACATGAAAGCAAACATCCCGCGTCCATGGGCCTTCTCGAAGGGAACTCCACCACCTTTGACGCATCCGCTAAAGTAGTGCATCGGAGTCATCAACGTCGGATCGGTCTGCCACAGAAGCATCGGAGCCAGAGTTTGCTCGCACGTCAGCAGCCATCTCGACAAGTGGGTCAGGCCGTAGAGAGTGATGTCTTCTGAGCCGTTCGATGGGTGATGTGCGGTGAAGATGTTTCGGCGGACCAGGAATCTCATGATACGCGCGAGGCAGGAAATATCTGGGGAGGAAGCCTCGGGAATTGAGGAAACTATTTGGGCCAGAGTGATTGGGCCTCCGTGGGAGTTTATGATGTCGGGTATTCGGAGCTCCACAACGCATCTCAAGGCCATGGAATCCACGAAGCGGAACATGTACTTCCATATCTCGGCTTGGCCTCTCAGATTTTCGTCGTCAGCTGAGTCCATATTTCTAATCTGAAAATTTGACAATTTCTCTCTCTGTTTCTATAAGCTGGAGCTGGACTATATATGTATAGAAGAGCATGCCTATTCTCTCCGTAAATATTTATAGAAGTTGCAATTTGAACTCATGGGTGATGCCACATAATGCAAAGGGTCTAATTTTAAGACCCGTTTTATTCATACATTTGAATCATGATTTTTATTCTCAGACAATTATAAAAAATTTAAATGATAATTTGCACAAATAATTTCTAATTTTTTTAAAATGTTATAATTTGGTCTCTAATTTTTTTTATTGACAAAATAACCCTCAATTTCTTTAAAAAATAATAATTTAATCATTTTTATCAAATTCCGTTAAATTTTTAACAGAATTAATCACATGCACGTGTGATCTTTTTAAAGAGGATATTTTGATAAAATATCAAGGCAAGCTCCCTTTCTCTCTCATTTCTCACGCTCTCTCTCCTTCTCTCTCTCTCTCTCTCTCTCTCTCTCTCTCATCTCTCACGCTCACTCTCTCTCTCTCTCGGCCGATGAAGAAAAGCCGAGCAACTCCACTGTTTGGTCGACCAGCATGAAACCCGTTTAGATTTTCGCCCCGCCGCAGACGATACTAAAGACGCAGAACAAGCAGAAACCAAGGAATTCGGCGTACCTGAAAGCTGTGGCGTCGCCCGCGGTTGCTCTGCTGCCTGCGATGGCATCAGAGCCTGTCGCTTAGCCTGCTTTGGTGGGCGTTACATCCACGGTCCTTGAAAAGTATGATCCGATGAGGTTGAATGATTACAAGGATTATAGGAGGGAGAAGAAGAGGAAATTGATGGAGGTCGAGATGAGGAAGGAGCTCGAAAGTAGGCGGCAGAGGAAGAGAGGGAGAGGAGGGAGAAACAAGAGAGGGAGAGGGATTATGGTGATGATTCGCGGTTGAACATTTCGGGCGAGGAAGCGTGGAGAAGGCACGCTGCAATGAGTGGGGCACTGCCGAGATCACCATCTCCGCCGAGTAGTGGATAGGGGTTTATCATCAGATTGTCAGAGACGGAGATGGAGATGATCATGATGTTGAGGAGAAAGACATAATTTTTTGGGGGCATTTAAGTCATTTTATTGAAAAAGGGGTCATGTTTTATTAAAAATTTGATGGAAATGACCAAACCGTCACCTTTTAAAGAGGTTGGGGTCGTTTTGTTAAAAAAAAAAGTTAAGAACTAAGCTGTCACCTACTAAAGAGTTTGGGGACTATTTGTTCAAATTACCCAAATTTAAATAAAAAAATTTCTCGTGAATGGGCTCTCTTATAAAATTTGAATTCAAAATCAAAATTACTTATTAAAACGTGTAAATTAGACGGGTCATTATTTTCTTTGGTTTTTTTATTATTTATAAACTTGTTTATTTATTTCTTGTTGGAAACAATAGTTAACGTTATATGATTGTATTTCTTATTTGGGTTTTAAACGTGTATCACGTTATTATGTTTAGGCAGCATATCTATCCAATAAAAATTTATTTTGTAGCTGTTTTTATATCAACATTATGTGATTGTATTTCTCTTTCTAATATATTTAGATTAATTACTTAGTTAAAATCACCATACATATAGTTTATTAATTGTAAATAATATAGTTTTGATTTCAAACAAGTTGTAACATTTAAATTAATTTAAGAAACTTGGACGACTTAATGGACGCTCGAGCTACCAATTGCAAGGAAGTGTTATGCATGTGTGTTTCAAGATCGTATCACAAGCCTTTAAAAAGTTAGACTGCCCTCTAATTATTATAGTCTAAAAAGTCATTATCATTTGAGATAACCAAGATCTTCACACCGGAATGATTAGCATTAATTTAGCCACCAAAAGTTGAAGTGGAAGACAGCAAGAATGATCATAAACATTATAAGTTTTATATCTTTTTATATTTGTCATTTTTTTTTAAACAATACAGGATTAAACCCGTAATTTCAGTACCAATAGATGAAGAGATCTTAAGCTTATAATTATTATTTTCAAAAGAAAGAAACCCATTTAGGTCTTTATTTTCTTTTTTTGAAATGGTAATTATATTTCAAATCAAGAAAATACACAAGATAATTCTAATGAGTAGGGGTGAATATCGAGTTTTTGAGATTTTTCAACCCATACCAAGTTGATTTCAAATTTAACCGACTCAATTAACCTAAATTTAAAATTAACACATCCAATTAAAATTTAGATGGGTTGATCGCATTGATCATAATAAAGAAATAATTAATATATAAAGCTAGCTATTTAACCCAAAATAAGAAACATATGAAAAGAAGGTTAACTTTCATCATAATATTAGTCTCATAAGTTCCAAAATTGTCTCATAAATTTTAGACCAATATAAAAGATAAAAACATAATGCAAAACAAGTTTAAATATCTAAGTTGTAAACCAACAAATAAACAATAATAAAAAACTCATACAACATAAAATATAATAATTTGCCAAGTAATTGATGTATAATATCAGACATACAACATATTATGGGGTAAGAAAATATTTATTTTTATATTATAAACAATTTGGGTGGGTTCGAGTTAAGTTGGATTAAAAAAAATAAAAAATAAAACCCAAACATCCAACCCAATTAATAGTCGGATTCGGTGGGTTGGATTGATCTCTTAATCGGTTAGTCAGATTCAAGTTATTATGGGTTGAGTTAGGTGGATTAATTGAGTTTATCGGGTTATCGGGTCTTTTTACCCCCACTAATGAGAATGAGCTCTTTACACAATAACACTTAACTCCGACCGACAACCCTAAATTACGTAAATTGTGTTTGAGATTCTTCCTCCAGTAAATTCTAATGAATCATACAAAAGGATAAAATGTGTGGCGAGTTAAGAGGAACCCAAAAAGGCGCACCACTAATAAAGTACCAATATGGTTCTTTCTCCATTATGACCGATGGTAATTACCGATCATTAATCGAGACCTGAAGATTCGTATCACAACGGCCACCCACATCACTGAGAGAAACCAATTCTATTGGGTTTACTCACAACAAAATTAAACATTGTGGAAATCACCTATTTTATTATAGACTAAAAAAAACCGTCTAGAAAGCAAAAATAACACCATATTTTGCATAAACAGTTAGCACTAAACAGAAACGAGGCCCCAAAGCGGAGATAGCCACTGAAACTCAAGGTGTTATAGAAGTCTTATGAAATTATACTTGCAAAAAGGTAAAAGGAATTCTCATTATAGGTACAAAAGAATCAAGGCTATCTTGAACTCAGCACATTAGATATGTAATCGAAGTGGAATCACTGTAGGCATGTTCTTTTATCTAATTCAAATCACAACTCAAACTTTTTACTATAGTATTTTCTCTTATAAAAATTTAAATTTAACTTTTTTACTACAGTATTTTCTCGCACATACTAAACTCAAGTTTAAAAAAAGAACATACCCTATGCAATTTAAGTCAGTAACACTACTTAATTTACTAGTACGAAGGACGTGCCTAATAAAATGTTTTATTCCTGTACTTTTTCTTTAGTAAGAATAAGTCCTCAAAAAGTTATTAGATACATATGATCAACAATATTTCAATACAAAATTGTTATTTTAATGATTTCTTGCCGTAAAAAGAAGACAAACAAGTGTGATAGCTCAACTTACATAAATATCATATGTATGCATTAATGTTGTCTAGTGTCTAGTATCTAGTCTTATCCAAGCTGTGCTGTAAAAAATTTACTTTTATTTTTTTATTTTATTATTATTATTATTTTTTTTTTTTTTTTTGCAAAAGTGGTATGTTTGTAATTCGACAATCTAGTGTTATATTTCTGTAATTGAGAAGAGGAAACGGATAGAAACAAGCACAGCTGAAGAGCAACTAACTTACCAGTCAACATTCAACCGTCTAAACTACCAGTCCATTCCGATATCACTATTGCCAATCCCTTTTTCATTTCTCTAAACTGGCTCAAGTCTCCTTGCAAACGGCGAAAAGAGCCCTGGAAATAGCAATCTTCATTCGTCCCCTTTGCCTTCATATGGTAAATGGTAATGAATAGATTTATTTCTTACAATGTTTCAACATTACATTTATCTTTGGTCTTTGGCTTCATATCTTAGCCTCCTAAAATTCTGAACAAGAATCCATATTTACATGGCGATCAGGACAGGAAACAAGAATATACAAGCCAAACTGGTGGGTATGTCTTGCTGGTTTTCCTTGATTCTCTGCTAAGTAGAAAATCGGGTTATTTGTATTTTTTACAATGTTGATAGATAATACAATCATAAATTTATGTAATACCAGGCAATGAAAAATAATTATTTCATTAGATTTTTTTTTTTTTTTTTGGTTATTATCATGTATTGTACTGAGCTGTTGATTGTGTCATATTCATGGAAAGAGTTTTTCCATCATATTTGAGCTTAGTTGGTTCTTTGATTCTCATATAAAATATTGGGAAATTGGATTTTTATCCCAATTTAATACCAAGAAACCTGAAAAAATTAATAGATTCCTTATCTTTGATCAGTTCTTTTTGTGTTGTTGGGCAATGAAAATTTTAGGTAATTATTAATTGAAAGGGACAAAGACGTGAATATTTAACTAAAATCCCAATGGTCCTTGTAGGTAAACACTAATTACAAGGCTTAACACGTAAATATTTAATTGAAATTCTGATGACAATTTTGGAGGGTGAAATAATAAGGGATCCGATCATCCGAACTTAAGACCTTTTGTTTCGATACTACATTAATTTACCTATTCTCTTAAAAGCTTCGGCTAGAATACGTGGGTCCTCAATAGCTTTATATTATAATTTCTAATACCTGTATTTGAATCGACCTCTTTTACGGATATTCATATAATATTGGTTGTTGAGTAAGCAAAAGAAAGCTATAGACATGAATAGTTGACATTGTTAAAAACCTCTGCCAGGTTCTTCTTGGAGACATGGGAACTGGAAAAACAAGTTTGGTACTGAGATTTGCCAAAGGTCAATTCTACGATTACCAGGTTAACTTTTGTGCCATGATCTTTCTTTGTTTATCATGTTTAGGGCCCGTTTAGTTCGTTAATTCGAGTTTTTAATTCGAGTTAAAATGTGACTTTATGTGAGAGTTTTTTACTATAATAAAAAGTTATATGTGATTGTTTCTGAGAGCTTTTTATTACAGCAAAACTCGAATCGATGAAATAAACGAGACCTTAATACTCTCGTTGGAGTTTCTCACCCAAAATTATAATACTAAAGTACATAGTTTTTACTAGGAATCAACAATCGGAGCAGCATTCTTCACTCGGGTGGTGTCGCTGAATGAAGCCACCATAAAATTTGATATATGGGACACAGCAGGGCAGGAAAGATACCACAGTTTGGCTCCGATGTATTATCGCGGCGCAGCCGCAGCAGTTGTCGTTTATGATGTCACAAGCACGGTAACTATCCATGGACGTCGTTGATTTTGTCTTAGCTTTTTGCACAAAGCCTTTGTTTTCCATCAACAAATATTATGCTAGTTTTAGAATTTGGAGCAAGCATGCCTTGTTTTTTATGGTTGAAATATAAGTGGAGATAGTTATGACATACTTGGAATATCTCATTGGCCATTGCTAACTTATTTACATAAGAATCTCAAGATTTCCTCGTAAAAATTATTTGAAGTGTTGTAACTCTAAATTGGGAATCAATGATCTGACTGCTTATCTGTTTTTGTTTTAACTTCAGGACTCATTTGTGCGGGCCAAAAAGTGGATCCAAGAATTGCAGAGGCAAGGTAATCTCCTAATTAATCCTCATGAAACTAAACACTTTGGATTAATTGTGGCTCTAAATTTTTAGTCTCGTTCACTTCGCAGATTCGAGTTTTCAATTCGAACTGAGATGTGACATTTTATGAGAGCTTTTCACTGTAGCAGAAAAAGTTAGATGTAACATTTTTTGAGAGCTTTTTAGTGTAGAAACCTAAAACTAAAAACTCAAGGCCTGTGCACCATTTTTCTTTTTCCTATTTCCTTAATTAATACATAGAAAAAGTTGTTTAGTTTGACAAGATTTTTCAATGCTAAAATTTTATTAAAATTCTCGAGTCATGACAATATTTGTTAACCAGAGTAGCTATTATTTAAGTTGGACATCGTCAAACGTTTTCCTCTTTCAACTTCTAAGAATTTCAGAATGTATTCCACGTCCAATTATTTGATTTCATGTCGTGCAATGTCAGGAAATCCAAATTTAGTCATGTTCTTGGCAGCTAACAAGGCCGACTTGGAAGAAAAGAGAAAAGTAGGCGCTGAGGTATTAACAATCAAATATTTCCTTCTTTTTTTTTTTTTTTTTTTTTTTTTTTTTGCATTGAATTCTCTATTTGATACTGTCAATAAAGCAAGATACTATCCCCATTTACTATTTTTCCCTTTTTTTTTCTTTAGGAAGGTGAGCAATATGCTAAAGAAAATGGATTGTTCTTCCTAGAAACGTCTGCAAAAACTGCTCAGAATGTGAACGAACTTTTTTATGAAATAGGTAAGTTTTATTGCCCTATTTTCTGAACCGACTTTGCATGAAAAGGGCAATCATTCTCGTGTGATTATAGCAAAAACTTTCCTGTCAATCAGTGTCTGATATGCCAAACCAGTAAGAAGCCTTTTGATACCTGCATATAGAACCAAACCCAGCAATCATTAATCAATCTTAGACAAAAAGATTCTCTTGCGCGAATTTACATTTGAGATTTTTCTCTTATTTTTAAGGATGGAAAATAAGAGTGCCCAATTGGGTTAAGGGCTCATAATGTTTGAGACACAACTACAACACAAACCGTTAATTTGGGATGTATTATGCAGTTCGTTCGTTTTCCGGCCATACGATGATAGTTAAATCAATCTACACCATCAAAAGTTTTTGTTGTCGGGACATACATTAAAAAAAAATTTGTCGATTTTTAACCGCGGTCTAAATGTATCTAACCGCCACTCAGTTGCCGGAAATCGGACTAATAGTTTTTGTTTTTTTGTTTTTTTTTTCTTTTTGGCTGAGTGGACTAATAGATTGTATATCATTTTTAATATAATGTTATAATTGATGTGTCAATTATAAATTTAATATTTGAGTGTAAAAATACTCTCTAATACAATACTATTTGCCATGTTAAATTTCTCATCTGCTATATTTTGTTGTAAATTTCTCATCAAATATAGCATATGAGAAATTTGATATTTAATTATTATTAGTTGAAATATTTATTTTTTCATGTAATCAATGTAACTTTTACATTCTTTAATTATTTTAAATATAAAAGTTTACTTTTATAACTTTTAAAGTTTAATAATTATGAGAAAAAATAGATTTAGTATTTCAATTGACATTATGCATTAGAGTAAAAATAAAAAAATATATCATATTATATTTTTTAATGGTAAATATACAATTAATATTATTAAGGATGTTCTGTAAAGTTTTTGTAGTTGGGATTCAAATATGGTGAAAATCAACCCGCAGTTAATATAATAGGTTGTCCCTTTGTTTCAGAAAAAATAATAAAAAGTAATAGGTTGTCCCGTATTTTTGAGTTCTCCATCCATTTGTGTAATGCAATGCAATTGAAAAATTCTTTTTCTTTTCCTTTTTTTTTTTTTTTTTTCTTTTTTTCGTTATATAGCAAAGAGATTGGCTAAGTCTATTCCTTCACGTCCAACTGGGATGAAATTGGACAGAGGGTCACGAGAAAGCGGGAGAAGACTGTTTTGTTGCACTGTGTGAGGTTGCTCTCTTGCTATTGGATTGTATTTATTTATTTATCTATTTATTTTTTCTAGATATCATTTTCATCATCCGTTTTAACACAAAAAAAATAAAAAAATAAATAAAAATCTTGATCAAAGACAAGAGTATATTTGGTCCAAATACATACTATCCGTTGTCAGTATCAGTAAAGAATTTGACCAAAACCATGTGATGCTATGAAGCATGAGCAATAAATAACTCTACTAAAGAATCTCAGAACAAAATAATAATAATAATAAATAAAATAAAATAACTCTGCTCAAGATTCAGAGAGTTACATATTTCAACCATAAGTCAAGGACTGATTAGCAAAAAACCATAAGTCAAGGACATGAGGTTATGGCCAATACTCACACTTAAAAGTCTTCCCGTTAAATTTACTCACAAAAAATGATGAAAGTTAGTACCTTTACATGGCATATGGCCATTTCGTAAAACCAAGAAAACTTTGGCCTTGTCTAGTATAAAATTTCATTTTTTTTTTAATTATTTTTTCTGTTACTTTATAAAAAGGAAAAATATTACCAAAGAAGCCCTTTATTATGAGGGAGTTTTCTTAGTAAACCGTCGTATTAGTAGAATTCATTTTCTAATCGTTAAATTTAATAAAAATTAAATTAAACTAAAAAAATATACATAATAGATAATTTTTAATACAGATCTAACGATTAAAAATTAAAAAACTAATAATAATTTTATTTTCTTAATCCTACCGAAGAAACTCCCCGTATTATGATACAAATGATTTTCACTTACTTTCTTCTTTCTTGTCCTTTGCTTGTGCCCACGGGTTTTTCCCAATCATTTCAAGGACTAACACTAACGTAAATGTGATGGAATACCATGGCTCATCAAATATAAGGAGTTTCTATTAGCATTTTGGCTAGCTTCCAAAACCTGCCCATTTAGTTGATTTTTTTTTTTTTTTTTCATGGACATAGTAATAACTCTCTAACACTCAAGAAATTATTATAAAACTCAAAATAATTAGTGTCATTTAAAAACATATAGCAAATCTTGTTTCCTTTACGTGCACTATTTAGGTCTAAATAATCAGCCGCCAATTAAGGAAGCTGAGACATTATAGTCCAAATCAAAACATAAAAATTATACAAAAAAACTCACTTTGTCCGACAAAGTAATGGTGTTTTTTTTTTTTTTTTTTTGTGGTACTGGGGTTTTTGTCTCGTTGGTGGCAAGTTGCCATACACATCTTGGACTCTCCGAATCATAAATGTATTCTATCAGGACGATTGCGGAATCTTCTGTCGTTTCCATCAGCAAAATCTCATGACATGCTACTTTCGTGTTTATTTGTCTATGCGCAAAATATACATTTTTTCAGCTTACGTAGAAAGAAAAGGGCCTTCTATCAAAGTTAAATCTTTTCTTTGGACAATTACAAAGTTAATCTTATTAAGCAGAATACAAGTATGGTTAGCTGAAAATTAAGTTTTCTATCAATTTTTCTCACCAATAAAAGGATGACAAATGGCTTGTAAACTTGGATCAAACAGGTTCAGTGTTTGTTTCTAATTGTTGGCCATGAAATTCCATTTTTAAGGGTTTTTTTTTTTTTTTTTTTTTTTTTTTTCCTTTTAGATCTTTCCTCGGTCATAAGAATTATTTCACACTGCCCTTTCTATCTAATCATGTCTAGAGATCATATTCATAGTATAGTACCAAGCGAAAATCACTATCTATAAAGTCAAGGGCCAATCTTGAGAATCCCGAAATGACAAACAAAAGTTTCAAATGGTACATCAGTTAGGAAAAAAAAAAAAAAAAATTCCTTTTTATCCAGCTTTATGGCACTGGGCACTCACTATTAACATAGGATGCTCTTCCTCGGGTGACTTATGTGGTCACATTTTCATGAGACAAAATAAATGAGTTTTCCTTTTTTTTTTTTTTTTAACTTTGGGTGGTGGCCACATATATATACATATATATATATATATATGTATGTATAAATAATTGGGGAGAAGTATGACAATTTCGTAATACTGGTTAAAACCCATAAACTAATAAATTCAGTCAGTGCAGAAACTGAAGCTTCCTGCCTAATGGAGTTCATGAAAACCAACGACAAGGAGACTCGTCCTTATCAAAGTGGACAAACACCTCGCAACTGACAGTATTAATTTCACCCTTTTTTTTTTTTTTTGGCTTCAACACATTGAAATTAGCATTCGAGGTTCCTAAAAAACAGAGTGATTTTTCTATTTCTCTCTGTTTTTTTTTTTCCTTCTTCTTATCACCTTTTTGGTTCTTTCTTAGTCCTTTACTTCTTCCACCGTTCACAGCTCACATGCATTCTCACAATCCAAAATAAATAAATAAAAAAAATGAACTTTATCTAGTTTTTCTTTTTTTAAGAAGACTGGTACTTTTTTTAAGAAGACTGGTACTTTTTTAATTTAGTTTAATTTTTTACTAATTTAATTTAACTTTTAATCAAATTTAATATAGATTTAACCTAAAAAAAAAAGAGAGTTTTTTTATTCTACTGCTAACTCTGCTATATCATTCCATCAAGAACTACACAAGCAAATGAAAACAAAAGAAGAATGGCAGAATTGAGAGGAAAAAAGGAGTAGCCAAGACAGAGGACGGGCTGAGTAACTTAGGTTGTCTTAGGCGTGGCTTGGATGGACGAGCCATGACCAACGCATGCAGTGAAAAAGTTACCATCTTTTCTCAGATTCTTAACCACTCTCCATTACTATATTCACAAAATACCCACATCCCAAAATCAACAATAAAATCAGAAAACCAACCAAAAAAAAAAAAGAAAAAGAAAAAGAAAAACCCCTAAGTCACCAAGAAGGAGAAGTACAAGGAGAACCTGAGGAAGATGACGAGTGGCCATTGTTACTATTGGAGTCACTGCCTGAAGTGCCTAGAGATCTGGCGTCTCTAAGAGAAACTGAGCAACCCTCCGCCGGGAGCTTCTTCATTGGCGTTAATGGCGGTGTTAATGAACTTGGCTTGGCAATCTCATCTTCTCCTGAAGAAGAAGAAGAAGAATCAGAACCCCCCATTTCTAACCTTGAAGGAGAAGTGTCGGGAGTTTCAAATGGGGTGTTTGATCCACTGAGTCCGCTTTCTATGTTTTCATAAATGGGATTTGAAATGTACACAAAATGCTCTTTACCACCGTCACCACAAGTTTTCTCATTGCAACTAGTACTAGTCACATTCCCACCTTCCGTTTTCTCCTCTTCTGCCCGTTGCGGCGACGGCACGAACGAGATCGATGGGGAAGGAGTGGAATTGGAAACCATCCCCACGTGGTTATGTTCTTGTTTTGGGATGTCAATAACTTGATGATGATCACGGAGTTGAGAAAGTTTCTTCTTTGTTTGGAGGCAGTCTTCTTTGAAGGAAATTGCAGGGAAGAGGAGGCTTCTCGGAGCTTGAAGAACACCCTGTGCATGGAAACTACTTAGAGGAGACGGAGTTGGTTCTGGTGACTGGTCTTGGAGGCGTGATGAGGATGAGGCCGCGGTCTCTGCCTCCGCGGTGCTGTCAGCAGCGGCGGAGGCGGTGGCGGCGTTGGTGGTGCTGATTTTGAGCTGACGGCGGCGGAGTAAGAGAGAACAGTAGAGCTCAGCTAGCAGCACCAAGATTAGGCCTAATACCATGGCAAGGCCCACCACCATTACTAGTGTTGCTCCCATTATCACCTTGGACGTGCCCTTCATCTCTCTGTCTCTCTCTCTGTCTCTCTCTCTCTCTCTCTAGTTAGTAGAGTGTGAGGTGGTGAAGGAGTCCGGTAATATATGTGTGGGAAAGAAGGTTTTTTTGGCGGGAAACGGTACCTGCAGGCTGCACCTATGACAAGGAAAGGAGATGGGGAAGCAGTGAGCACATCTTGAAAGAGGAAAAAAGGCCTGGGGAATGTGAAGGCTTTTTTGTGTTGTGAGCTGGCAGAGGGGGGGTTTCTGACAGTTGAGGGCATTTTGGTCATTTGGTAGCTTCAGTATACTGCTTTTTTTAAATTCTAAAATTGGCAATAATACTAAAATCCACCATAACTGTAAGACACGGTATGCTAGCGGAAAAATACGCCATTGTAAAAAGTTAAAAAACATTTTGTTTGGTGTATCATATTGTATTATATAATTTTTATATAATACGATATTTAATCGGTGGTATTATTAAATATTATATTATTTTTATTATTGTAATCTATTTACGTATTAGTTTATAATAAGATAAAATTTAGATCTAACCATAACCTAATTCTACTTTAATCTCAACATGAACCTAACATTTAGAAGAAGTAAGGGAGAAAGTAAAGTTGCTACGTAGAGGTCTTTTGCACACAAAAAAATAAAAATGGGGTCAAATTGTAATTTTCAAAATTTAAGGGGTAAACATATAATTTTGAAAAATTGAGTGGTCAAAATATAATTTTTAAAAAATTGAAGGGTCAAAACATAATTTTTTTAAAATTTAGGAGTCAAAATATAATTTTTAAAATTTAGGAGTCAAAATATAATTTTAAAAAATATAAACACAACATCACTCTAGTCTTAAAACTCGACCCCAACGTCGGTCTCAAAACCCAACCCTAAGCCTTGATATTTGTGAAACATTTTATATGTTTTTAATATGGTAAATTAAGTTAAATTGTATAATAGAATATAGTACATAAGTTTTCTTCCGTTTTAGATATCACACCTTGTATTGTATTAATTTTAAATCTCACATTAAATTATACAATATGTAAATATCACCAAACTTTATATTATTATTAAACAATACAATACGAACATACCCTTAAAGCAATTAAAACAAGTCATCATGGAACAATGTGGGACTCGCAACACCATTTTTTAGGTTAAAGATTTATGGTACAAGTATATAAGCAATCTCAACGTCAAACTTGAGTCCACACTTGCAGTAACTTTATGAACTGAAGCTACACACACCGTTATAACTTTTACAATGAATAGATCTAAAATTGTATTAAAAATGTAGTAGCGTAAATGCTATAGATGCCATTGTCCAGGGAGGAATTTAAGTGCATTTCTTGCTAATTGTTGTCGAAGACATCAAAAAACCAACTCGAGGAAACAAATGCAAGAAGATGGCAATGGTTCCAATCATGCCAATGTTGAGTGTAGATTCTGGTTGCTCAACCACTTATTTACCTTCCTCTTAGAGCTGCAAGCCGAGCAACAAAATCATCGTAATCTGGCAACTTGGGATGCACGTGCCGAGCCCCCTCTGATTGCTCCGGCTGAAAGGAAGCTGCACGAGTAAAAACTTTGGTTGCTGCCGATGGACCTGTGTGTTCGTGAGGGAGGGAAACGGAGCGTGTAGGGGGAGGGGTCATTTGCGACTCCTTGTCAGATCCATCCCTGCTTCCATTCCGAGGGGATTCATCATTAATTTCATGATGTGCGTGTCGACTTTTGGACTTTCTCCTTGGTTTTCCTGGTTCATAAACAGATGGCTTTTTACTGTAATGGATCAGCAGTTTGTCAATTATCCTCTCCTCTGCATCTTTCCGATGGTGTTCCTCATCAAACAAGATTTGCAGGCCTTGCCTTGAATCATCCCTTCTCTTGCTTCTTGATTTTCTTGGTAAAACCCCTGCTTCTTCGAAGTCGCCAGCATCATTCTGGAATGAACGTGATTTTGAGTGTTTCCTCCTCATTGATCTTGGTTTCGGTATGGGATTGCTAATAACATCATCCTGATGAATATGATCTTTCTCATGATAATGATTCTCCAGTCTTTCAGGTTCAGAAAGATTTTTTTCATGACGAGAATGATCAGATCTAGCGAGATGATTGTCATGACGAGAATGATCAAATCCAGCAAGATGCTTTTCATGACGAGAATGATCAGATTGGTGCAGTCCCTTGGAGATGTGACCAGTATTAGCTTTGTCAAGAGTTAATTCGAAATCCTTAATGACACCATTACCGTCAAAACCATCATCTGAAGATCCCAAATGGGTCACCTGCTTCCTGACTTTTTCTTTGGAATTACGTTTTACATAAGGAGGAGGGATTGCATTAGCAGAATAGGGCTTTGACTTGGGTAAAACTTCATCTTTGCTTGAAGAATTTGCGGTAATGTGTTGACCACCAAAATTATTATCAGCAAATTTTTCTTTACCGCTGCTCTTTCCATGGGAGGCTGCCATATCTGGCTTTGCATGAAGTATAGCATCTTGGCTATCTATTACAGGAATGTTATTAGCCCTACCATAATGCAACTTGGATCTAACATCTGCAGATTCTAATATATTTCTCTGGGATGAACTGCCTAATCCAACTTTTCTTGGGGTAGCATCCTCCTTCACATTCAATGCGACATGTCTATCAGGAGCAAATTCTCGCCTACCTTGAAGCATATTGTCATGGCTATCCTTTCTATCCTTTCGCAATGTAGCTTCTTCCTGACCATAGAGTGAATTATTTCCATTTGGAGAGAATACGTGCCTGGTCTGAAAGTCAACTGCATCCATTTTTGAGACTGAACCATCCTTTCTATCCTTTTTCAAGGCAGTTTCTTCCCGACCATAAAGTGAATTGCTTCCATTTTGAGAGAGAGCATGCCTTGTCAGGAAGTCAACTGCATCCATTTTTGAGACAGAACCGTTCTTTTCAAGTCCCAGTCTGCCACAGCCATCATTAAGGTCAACCCTTTCCTTAAACAAAATACCATGATTATCTCCTCTGGGAACCTTGTCTTTTCCATTATATGAATTGGTTTTATCAGCACTGAGATGGTAAGATCCATGAGCTTTGGGAGGGTCCTGCAAATCTCAAAAAAAAAAAATAGTTGTGATTTTAATGGCAGAGAACTGTTTTAAATATTTAAGATGTTATCGTAGTTGTCAATAAACTGCAAATAATAAAGCAAGAATATATTGGAGCATACCTGTGGAGATAGTGGCGGTATATTCATCCTTTGTTCAAAGGCATTGGAATCCCACTCTATTGAGAATTCTAATGCTATATCTTTCATTAAGCGAACCTTGTTCTCCAATGTGGAAGGCTTTGATGCTAAGTTTTCCTTAAACTGTTGACAAGAAATTTGGTCAGTAAGTTTTACGATAGATGGATCAATAAAGTGTTATCAAGGGTGGATCATTACGAGATTACCTCTTTACTCTCAAAAACTTGAGGAGCGTCTCTATATCTCTCATAAAACATTTGCCTAAGGTCACGCAATTCTGGTAAATCGGAATATCTTGCTGCAGCAAACATCAGGGTTGCCACAGCTGCCTTGCACTCCTCAGGGCATTCACTAGAAACAAAAAACAACATAACAAAGGAAACATCAAAATTAGTTCAATCCCCTTAAATATAACACATGATACTGATTTGTAACGCCAGTATTACCATTCAAGGCAAAATCATATGTACATCTCTGGTACTCCTCATGGCCATAACCATTCCATCATAGCATATAGACATGCGTTCTTCTTGAGGTGCAATTTAGACAAACAAGACTACCAAAAGCACGAGATAGTGGTACTCAAATTGTAGATCTTTTTACTTGAACTGTACAGTTCAAGAAGCATATCTTCTTGACTGGTACCCATTAGAAGAATCCCAAAAACTACTACGATGCGAAATAGATCAAACCCTTGTCCAAAAAGACTCTGCTATCCTAATTCCTAATCATTTCTTACACAAGCTACCACAAAATCATACAAACATAAATAGCCTAACTAGAGTTTCATAGATGACCTCAAACAGACAATGGCAAATACTATAGAAAAACTGCCTTGGGGAATATGTTATAATGGAGATTTCAAACGCTTTATATATAATATATCTTATTCTTAATGTCAAATGCAATGAACAAAATCAGAGAGCATTAAATATAGTTTCATACCTCTGTTTTTGCATGATCGAAAGATGCTTTAATACCACATCACAGCATCCCTCAACGAAATCATAACAAGAAGAATAGATCATCTCGACTAAAAGTCCCTCCGCCTGTTTGACCACAAGAAGTACTCTGGTTTTAGCCATGAAAGCTATATAATCAATTCATGAACTTACGAACATATTTTCTCTCTCTTTTTTTTTCCTTTTTTTTTTCATTCCAAAGAAATGAAAAGCTTTTAATTCCACATAAGTCGTGCATTTTTATCATTCTTATAATTTTTTTTCCTCAAATTTTCTCGGTAACCAAGCATAAGATAGAAAATCAAATTTTCACCAAAAGGCATTCAGCTCAAAGGATCGGTAAGATGAGTGAATCGAAAGCAAAACAAAACAAAAACGAGTAAATATACCCTTCCATAGGCGTTGATATCAAGGCCATTGGCAAGTAGATCAGCGACATCTTTTCTCAGAAATTTCTGCGTCGCGTTCCTCTTCCTCCTTATCACATCGATCCGAGTCTTCGTCAATTTAATCAATGACTTGCTGCCAAAACCAAAACGCACCAGAAATCAACAAAAATGCACAAATACACACAAATATAAACATCTCTGGTCGCTATATATGTCGATATATACATAGATAGAGAGAGAGAAGAGAGATCAAAGCGCAAACCATTTAGAGGCAAAGCCTCGGCCCAAGAGTCCATCCAACATCTCCGATCGCTCCTTTTTCCCAAACTCACCAACTGTAAAACTCAAACGACTCAAAATCCAACCGCCGCCATTAACGAAGCTCTCAGTGCCAGAGACGCAGAAGAGCTTCAAAGACGAAGAAGTCGAAGAAGAAGAAGATACTTTCCAAACTCAACCACTAGACACAGAACTGAAGCTGAAGGAGCCAAATAATATATTATTTTCTGACGATAATGTCCTAGTCCTTTCTCCCCTTTCGGAGACGAGGTTGACTCAAGAGTCTGGAAAGCGGACCCCGGATTTAAACGTTGGGGAGGGCATTTTCGGAAAACAATTTTTGTTAATCCTCTCTGATGAGTCCACGATGGATTGTTGAGCTTGGCGAGATCTGGGCCGCACGACGGAACTACTTTTTTGAGTGGGATGGTGATGGTAGTGGGTCTTTAAGTCAAGGTGGGTGAAGTTAGATGGAATCTGCTGAGCTGGACCGCAGATGCCCATAACCATCAATTTGCTTTGGCCACGGCTATTTTTTTCTTTTTCTTTTTTTTTTTTGCTTTATTTATTTCCTTTTTTGGCTTTTATTGCGCTTGAAATATCATTTAAGTCAAATTAAATGGGGTTTTTGCTTCTAGCTAAGACAAAAGAAGATAAGGAGGACAAAACAGAACTGTTTTAGTCAGTTGGAATAGAAAATATAACTACCATTTTAACTGGATTTACCAGAAATTTGTCCAAGTGAAAATGATATCTCTTTTATGGTTTAATTCTCTAGTTTTTCTATGGTAATCAAAGAGGCGGTGGATTTTATTTGTGTGATATATATATATATATATATATTATTTTGCAGTTTTGAACCTTTTGTTTCTTCTTTCGTTTATATTTATTTATTATTATTTTTTTGTTGATTTGAGTAGTTGGACACTTGGATGGGAAGTTAAAATATTATTAATATAAACTTTTGATTTTAGCTTCTGATTATAACAAGATTTTTCTTCCTTTTTTAAATTTGTTTATAAAGATAAATACAAGAGGTTGGTGATTTATCATTTTGAAAGGCCAATGAAAAATCCAATCAAGAGTTTGCTTACATTTTTATTTATCATACAAACTATTATTGAAGGAAATCAGGAATGGTTGTTGGAATATGTCAATCTCAATTCTCTTTTCTGAGACATCCTCTTTTTTTTACTTTTCTTTTTCCACAAGGGAGCTTCAACTCCGATCCAAGATGGGAACATATACATTCAAAATAAAAAAAAATGAAAAACAAAACATTTTATTAGGATTCAAAAAATACATTATTCTTAAGATTTTATTTTTCGACATTAGATTTGTATGATAAATGTTTCCTCTCAACTTATACTAAACTTTTTATTTTAGTGTAATTTTAACTAAATTTGACGCCAAATAGAGAAGGACCTTTCCCTTTAGTATATAAAATTGGAAATCTTTACACTAGAGGTTGTTATTTTACTCCACTGATAAGAATAATTATTTTTAATCGTTATGTTAGGTATTTTTATTAATAGGTAATTTATTGACAATCTTATAAAAATTTAAAAAACAGGTTCAAGATGATTTTGGATTGCAGAAAAAGATTCAGAATCAGATTTAAAGTTTCAGTTATAGATTTTGTTGAGTTGTGATATGTGGAGATAAGGATTAAAAAGGGTGATTTGAATTTGAACGGAAAATTACTTATATGCAGATAAAGTGATATGGATTTAGTTTCAAATTTAAATGGAGATATAGCTTGCAAGTCAAGATTAATTCGGATTTGATTATTTTTGTGAAGTAATCCAAATATAATGTGAAGAAGATTTAAATTTAAGTTCAAGAGTTGCAGATTTGAATTTATTGGAGATGATTTGGCTGCACTTAGTTAGTGATTTGCGTGAGATGAGTTTTGGGATTTGAACATTAAAATACTACAAACGTGAAGGTGTGGGTAATTAGACTAAAGCATTGGATTTGGTTTAAAAGTTTGAATGAGATTTGGTGTTTTGAATTAAAGGGAGGCTTATCTTATCAGGAGCGTGTACGTTTGTTTCATGTATTCGTTTATGATTTTAAATCATGATTCATGATTCTCTACAGTGTTTTTCTCTCACAAAAAATACACTTAAAACGAGAATGATTCTGAATACATGAACCAAACATCTGTGAGACAATGAAGCAGATAAAATTGTGAAGATTTTATTTTGAGAAAAAAATCGTGAAAGATTTTCTAGAGATATTTTCTTGTATAGTTACTTTGAAAGGAGATTATGTGTGATATTCTTTTGAGAGAATCAATGAGATTTTACTGGTGAGATTGCACAAATATTTTGAAGAGAAGATTTTGCAGAAATAATCTAAGAGAGAATCATGGAGAAAAAAAAAAGATCTTTGGGGGAGAGATTCTTGAGTAACTTTGGAAACCTTATTTTAAGGACTTGCGTTTAACTCACTTGGTACAGATTTAATAAAGAAAATATTCAGAGAATAAGTATGTGAGTTTGAGAGTTTGTACAGAGAAATATTCAAAGAGATGTATGTACTTTTGAGAGCCTTTGAGTGTTAATCATTACGCCTTTTGGGAGAGAGGCTTGTTGCTTTCGAGAGGAAGCTCTGCCAATTAAAGGGAGTTCATCTGGTGAATAAAAGACATGTTATGCACGCTAAACAACATCACTATAAAGATTCGTCACAGCGACATTATTGTCTGAAAAGAGCCCTGTGTGAATAAGTCCATCAGTGTCTGTAATTTCTAGAACACAGTGAACTGTTTACTGTCTGGGCGTGGTCACGTAAATATATGTTTGCACACCAAACTGTGATACCATATTTCGTGTTCTTTTTATTTCTACACTTTATTCTGCTCTAAAAACTGAACATAATTAATCTGGATCTTAATTAATTAAATCGTGTCCCAGACGGTGTTACAACACCATCTAAAACACTAAACGTACAATTAAATTTAACACATTAAATTATTATTTTAACGTTTAAATATATACATGTCCATATTAAAAATATATAAGGCGCCATATAAAATTATTCTTATTATATATTTTTTAAGTTGAAAAATTAATCTAATGTAAAGACTCTATAAAATTAATGCGCATACTCAGAAAGGAAGAGTTCTTCAATCACTTCCAAGTCAGCTTATGAATGGACAAAAGTCCTTTCATATTTATCCACAAATCATGAGTAGCTTATCCTCTGTCAAAAGAAGTAATAAAAGATTTTCTTAGATGAGAAAACAAACACTAAAGTTGATTGCAACATTTATAATTAGGGAGCATTTAATTAATCATTTTGCCGACGAATGGCGGAAAAAAGAAGCCTCACTGAAAGGGAATTTTGTATAAAGAACAAATATCTACATACATAAAATAATTGACAAAAATAAAATTTTAATTCTATGTTCTTTTATATGTCTTTTTGTGGGGACATAATCTGGGAAGCCCATGCTAGTTTGATTAAGAAAGGAAAAATTAGAAGGAATCTCTCGTTATTTGTTAATTAAGTGCTGAACCAATGGCTTTCCACCACAACATAACTATATATAATACGACCAAGGTGTATAAATATTCTTCGATGACTAATCTGACCTTATTATAAAAACGAAAAATACATTTTTTTTTAAACTATTATTTAAACCTTTTCATAGTGTGGCAAAATGGGAAAGATCGATCTAAATTTATGTATAAGGAAAAACTCTTAAAATTAATGAGAACATATTATTTTGATTTCAATAATCTCAATATTTAAAAGTCTATCTATTGCAATAGTTGATGTGGCTATTTATAACATACCCACAAAACATTAACTAAATATTCACTAAGGGAATGTTTGGTTGGAGGATTCAAACCATGATTTGAATCATGATTCATAGTTCGCTACAGTGTTTTCTCTCATAAAAAATACACGTAAATCAAAAATGATTCTAATCACATAATTCTAATCTATGAACCAAACGTCTCATAAGATATACAACAGATTAAACAAATAATAAAAACTAAACTAAAATGATAAATTAAGACAAACGATAATGCAAGTATAACATGATTATTATAACTAAATTCTGCTACATCATTTCTCCTCTTTCGAAGACCTATTTGTGCAAGGTAATGCAAGCAATGGACTTTAATAAAGCCTTTTCCCTGCTGAAGTAAAGTGCCAATTCCTTTTCAATGATAATTAAAGGGAGAGACAGAGACAGTAAAGTAACAAGAAAAATAATTTTGATTTTGGGGAACGACATCTTTTTCCTTTAGCGTTACCGTTATGTGGTATGCTTAAAATGATTATCCTTTTTGCTTTTGTTTTAAGAGAATTTATCTTATGTTCTCTTTTTAAAAAAAAATCGGTGTTCTCTGTTTATCAACCGTCGAATCTGTATATTTTTTCAATCTGATTTAACTTTAGGTTAAATTTAATACAGATCTGACAGTTGATAAACATGAAACACCAGTGTTTCAAAAAAAAAAAAACACCAAAAAAAGCTCTTTGTTTTAAAAGGAATCTTTTCATTTATTTATTTGTTGAAAGCTAATCATTATTTAGTTCTGCTTGTGAATTCAAATTATCGATTTATTCAAACTGAAGCGAAAAATGCTGTTTTATTGAAGGTATATGGGGCAAATAACAATGATCTGATGAGGATGCCAAATGGAGCAGAGGACTCTAATTTTAATGTTTTGGAAATTTAAGAAAATCAACATTTATACACTAATATCAGTTGGTCAACATGTTAAACTAAGCTAACACAAATTTCATAATGCAAAACCCTTTGATTTTTGTTTCCTCCCAAATTGCTGAATGTGTGTGACGCCATTGTCCAAAATCGCTTTAAATCCAAAAAAAAAAAAAAAAAAAAAAAAAATAAAAATTTTCCAAAAACGCTTTAAAACCAAAAAAAAAAAAAAAAAAAAAAAAAGTTTAAAACAACTTGCATGGAAAAGACAAAGATATAAATAATATCAAGAGGTTTAACATTGCAAACACATCCAATAACAAATTACTAACCTTATTTATGAGAAAAATGTTAGCTTTGATTTATCAAAAGCAAAATATATATATATATATATAATAATTAGCACTGATTACCAGAAACCCAATTTGATCCAAATTGAATTACACTGTCTGCAACAGAATTGAGACTTAATATCCATTACTGAAAGGATTTTGCACATTGATAAATAATTCAATGCAAATAAATGAAAGAATTTTCTGTTATTTCAAAAAATCAACAAATAGAAAGTAACAACAAACTTGTTCAATAGCATTGTCCCACAAGGTAATGAAGTATGTAGCAACATGCTATACATAAAAGACATTAAATATACTTTGGAATATAAAAAAATTGTATTTCAACAAAGAGAAACAAAAAAAAAGTAACCATTAGCCATTACGACTCCCAAGTTACAAAAAATGGCATGCAAGAAGCTGGATCTACTGTAAGACAATTTCAAGATGTCGGTTCATTTGAGAAAAAAAAAAAAACAAACAAACAAAATCACTGAATTTATATATCATTTTGGGACATGTAATCCTTTTAAGCCACTTCATCATATATATAATCGCGTGTTATAAAATTAGGATTCTTCTGCTTTGTTTCAACAGCGTATTAAGAGCTCTCCTCTCAAATGTCTTCACATTTTTAATGTGCATTTCTTAATTGATCCAACAAATTATTAGAACTACTTTAAAGACATTTAGTTTATAGATTCAGAATCATAATTTAAAATCATTATCGATTTACGTGTGTTTTTTTATAAGAAAAAATACTGTAACGAACCATCATCTGAACAATGGCACGAATCTACCAACCAAACGCACCCCGTTCGGCTCGCTAATTCGAGTTTTTAATTCGAGTTGAGATGTGATATTGTGTGAGAGCTTTTTACTGTAGTAAAAAAGTTAGATGTGACTGTTTCTGAGAGCTTTTTACTATAGAAAAACTTGAATTCTAAACTCAAATCAGCGAAAAGAACGGGCCCGTTTTACGTTTTGCTTTTATGTGTGTGTGTGTGTGTGTGTGTGTGAATGAGTAGTTTTTAAATGGTTCCTTGTCTACATAATGCGTGGGATTTCGGTAATATTCAAACTTCTAGAGCACAAAGACAACCATGATCATCAGAATCTAAAATCCAAAACAAAGATTATTGAGAGAGGGATCAGGAGGTGCACCAGGACATCCCAACTAAGTTGGCACCTCCGTAGCACCCTCATCATTTACCCTCCCTCAACATATTATTAATGACATAAAAAAACAAATTACAAATTGTTCGGTTAAACGAACCATCGAAAAATAAAAAGTAACTAGGTTGGACTAAATCGAAAACCTAGTTACATACATATGAAATTCTCCTACTAAACCAACCAAACAAAAATACACTATCTAACCCTATAGCGGGTAAGGCCAGAAGCATCTATCTTCGCCTCTTGGAGTACAAACTCTGGAGGTTCATTCCAACCCCAGAACTGAAAAGCGTAAGCAGACTCGAATGCGTGGTTTGCAAGTCTATCGGCCACCGCGTTGCCCTCCCTATATATGTGCGTGACTGTGCAAAACTCCATTTGTTTCAGGAACCCCAATGTAATGATCCACATGTCTCTTACGGAAGAAGGCACGTCCAATGAAAGTTTGTTGACGAGATTGACGACTTGCGTTGAGTCGCATTCTAGCCAAATTCTTCGCAGTCCTCCTCTCCAAGCGATGTCGACTGCTCGAATGACACCTTGTAGCTCAGCCTCAATTGCTGTTAGATGACCACAGGATTCGCTGAAAGCTCCAAGGATGGAGCCGGTGCAGTCACGAAACACCCCACCACAACTCGCTTTGCCGGTCCTACCACGAGCAGCACCGTCAGTGTTGATTTTTATACATCCGGGCGGTGGACGATGCCAAATTACGGGCACAGCATGGAAAATTGAAGCTCTTCGGGGTCCCACCTGAAAATAAAAGAGTTAGGTCGAGAAGGAAAAATAGTTTACTAAATGTGGTTGGATGTATAGTTTTGCAGTAATTTCACATTTAACTTCATTTAGAAGTCTTAGGCCTCATTCACTTTGCGGATTTAAGTTTTCAATTCGAGCTGAGATGTGACATTTTTAGAGAGCTTTTCACTGTAGCAGAAAAAGTTAGATGTGATATTTTCTGATAGATTTTTACTGTAGAAACCTAAAACTGAAAACTCGAATCGATGAAATGAACGAGCCCTTAGAGTTCAAATCCTACTCTTCTTCTTTTTTTTTTTTTTGCTTGAATAATCTGAATGAATTATACAAACACAGTACTTTTAACTTTTAAGAGTTATATCATATCATATGCCATATGATATCACGAAAAAAAAAAAAAAAAGATTAGATGTATGTCATATAAGTAGTTTCTTGCCGATTGGTTATGTTATAGTTAGTTGTAGGATTTCTTGTTTTACTGAGCTTAATTGTCATTTACGAGGCTCTTATAATACGAACAAAATACAAGGGGATTACAATCAAAACACGAGGGGATAATTAACGAGTGAAAAGGGTGTCAATAAATAAGTTTCAGATGTCCTATGATAGAAACATAAGTTAAAAATATATTTTGTTTCATAGAATGATAAAACGAACCCTGCATTAGATAAGGCGGACTTGCTTACCTTTATATGTTTCAAGCAATCGTCGAAAACTGGATGGTGAATCTCCATAGCCGGTGGAGAAAAGTGAGTACCTTCGCCTTTCTGAGAAAAAAAAAAAAAAAAAGAGAGAGTTAAGTTAATTAGAGTAAATGATTTGTTTTACTACATATTAAACTAGGACACAGATTTTTCCTTTCAATTCTTTAGTTTTTTTTTCTTCTAAGCTCCTAATTGAATAGTGGAGTTTCACAATGTCTAGAGTTCCATAATTTTGTTGCATGAATTATAGTGTTACTCTTATATGAGAAAAAGAAAAGCAGAGAAGCCATATCCATTAGTTAACTATTTGGTTTTGTTTCAAAATGGCTTCTTTTCCTTTTACATTCAATTACAAGCCTTTTAAATTTATTTGAATATATACAGTGAAAAAGGCTTTGCGTAGCTTATGACTGATTAATCTAAACCGTAAGACTCTTTGGTGTTTAGTTCCGTAGCTTAAAAAAATTTTAAAAAAAGAAGAAAAAAAACTATGATTTAACTGTTGATATTAAAAACTTCATAAAACTAAATATCTTAAGAGTTTTAAGTTTAAAAAAATATCTCAGAGTACTTTTTAAACATTTTCTTAATATGGAGGAAATAAGGAAAATGCTAGTTAATATTTTACAAATAGAGAACGTGCAAAGAATTTGTGTTTAATATTTTTTTTTATAATTCCTGTACAAATTCCCATTTTAAAACAAGAGTACGACGTTAGGAAATTCCTAATGCCATAAAGTATAGTTGTCAATGAAAAAAAAAAAAAAAACTTTGAATATTTTGTTTTTCTTTTTTTTATTTCTATCCAAACTTCTACTTTTTTTTTTTTTTTTTTTTGCTACTCAAACTTCTACTGTTCTTACTACTTCTAGATGGTCTTTTTTCTTTTTCTATGTAATACCTCTTTTCTTTTTATGGAATCGAATAACTGCTAGTTCATCTAGTATTTACTGTGACATAGCAAACAAAAACAGAAAACGAAAAGAAAGAAAGAAAGAAAAGATCACTTACAGTGAAGAAAAAGTCTTCCTGAGAAAATTAAGAAACAAACCAACTTGAGCCCTTTTTTCTCCTTCTGTGCGTAAATCGATCCGTGAAACTATTTTCTTGGCTCTCCTTTTATCAGTTTCTAAGCGAGAATATTGTTATAAATGAAACTCTGAAACTACAGACCTTTTGCCTTATAAATATAATAGACTACCGAATTCAAATCGTACTAGGAATCCTAAATGAAACCGAATTCAAATCGTACTAGGAATCCTAAATGAAACTATGTACTACATATATTTCCAACTATATATATCTTATATATTCTTCTTCAAATCTTATTTTGAGTTAATTCAAACTTATAAACCTATGTCTTGAGCAAAACTTTTGTTTGGTTGCCCAATTTTATAAAAGGTTTCCGTAAAACACTAACCCTGTGAATCTCATCTCTGTATATCAGAGATGCATGCATATCTAAAGGAAAAAACTATATATATATATATATATATATATACATATATATTTTTTCAGCGGAAGTCCATAAATAACAGGAGAGATTCTAGTCCACTGGAAACCAAGAACACCAAAACTTGCAGATACATTCCAATAATAAGAGGTTGCATTTGATTCTCAGATACATTCCAATAATAAGAGGTTGCATTTGATTCTCAAGCTACAATTACATGAGTGAGAACCAAATGCAAGTTCCACCTTTTCAGATGCAATATTTTGAAGACAAAAAGAAATATTACAGCTTTTCTCATCCTAATCTGGTGCATAACATTCACATGTAGAAGGAAAAATGACATCTCACTTGAATATTAGAACCATCTTCACGCTCAAACTTTCCACTTGCCTAGACGCTTTCGTGCTAGCAGCGGTTTAGACCTTGAAGGTGCTCTCTTTTCCTCGTCACTATCTTCACTATCCAAGACGACTACAGCATAAGATGTTAGCAATTCTTCTGCTTCCTTTTGCTTAGCCAGTCCAAAAGTCTTGTCCTTTTTAACTTGATCAAAACACTGCTTCTTACTTAACCCTCTGTCCTGTTGCTTAGGGATGGACTTGGACAAACTAAATAGGCTCTCAGAGTGTGCAGGTTGCTGAATCTGATTTTTGGTTCTCTCTTGCAACTGCGTAAGAGGACTCGGTGACTGCTTCTGATTTCTCCCATGCATCTCAAGGTTCCCAAGTCCACTTTCATTGTCCTTGTCGTTCCCACGCAATACTGTTCCCAGCGCAGAAAAACTGGAAGACCTTGGTCTCTTGTAAACAGGTGGCTCTACACTCTCTTTGTTATGTGTCCCTGATGGTCCTTTAGAACCCAGTGAAAGTTTCTTCTCAACCAAAGAGAACTTTTCATGACTCGTCGCAGAAGAGTCTTCTTCAATTCTTTCCACGCAATCCTTTTGGGGTTGTGGTTTGGAGTAGTTTACAGTTGGCGTTACTGAAGCAGCCTCATCTGATTTGATAACATGGATATCTGAGGGCAATAGTTGAGGGATCACATGCATTTTCCCCCCACTAAAATCCACTATTTCTGAAGATCCTAGTTGTTTCTGGGAAAGCCCATGCAGCTTCTTTAATTCAACATTTGTGTTTTCATCTTTTGATATGCTATCTTGGCATTGATTAACCTCTTCCCTGTGACAGTGTCCCGAAGAAGCCACAGAAAGTTTCGTACATGATGAAATATTTTTTGGGACCAACTTCTCATTTTCATTGTCGTTTCTCTTCTGGGATTGAGCAAAAGACACCAATGATAACTTTCTCCTGTTCCCATTCAACTTCTCCTGAACCCAGTTGGACTCCTGGATTGTATGTTTTAGCTCCTTTTTTGTTTCTTCAACTTTCATCTGCTTCTTCGAGTCTTTGACTGAAAGGTTGTTGTTAGAAGCTTCATTCCCTTCCTCACTTTCAACCCTTTTCTCAGACGGGCCTGAAGACTGCAGTGTCAACTTGCTCCCAGTCCCGCATATCTTCTTACAATTTAGGACGTACTCGTTAGCTTCAGGTTTTGACTCATTTTCAACTGTTTTAACTTCCACCTGCAGTAGAAAAAAGCAAAGACAGTTAAAATTTCAAAAAGCTCAAAATTTGAAGTTAAATCTCCTCAACTTATTCTGTTACCATGCTTGGATTTGAGTCGGTCTGAATACACCTACTTGCGCCAACATTCCCACTCGCTCCAGGATGGGCATATTTCTCAGTCATAGATCGAGCCTTCTGGTCAAAAGCTTGTCTATTATACTTATATTCCCTACTCTGCACATTTATGAGTACCCAAATCAATGAAAAGCAATAATCAACGAGAACAAATTCTCAGATCATTTGTGAGCATATCACCACTTACGGCTTCACACATTAGGCCATCATCCGGATTGGGTTCACTCAGTAACAACCCGATGCTGGTAAGCACAGTTGAAATGTTTAATGATGGTTGCCATGCCCCCTGCTCGGATTAGAATGACAACACACAATGGGAGTTAAAAATCAGCTAATGGGCATCAATTTGATCAGATTTCAGCTTTTCAAGTAGTTACCAAAATATATAATAGGCCACAAGTATAAAATCATCAATACAAAAGGAAATATAACATGCAAAACGAAAATCAAGAGCCCAAATTTTTTTCTAATCATTCTTGAAACAAAATACAATTCCCCCAAATTGTTTCTACTTTCTAGCACTAGGTCTTGTAACCAAAATGAAATCAAAATTGTTTCTAATCATTCTCGAAACAAAATCTTCGAATGCAGCATTCAGAAACACAAATTGCCCCAAATTCAAGCCAAAAAGGCAATATATCATCACAAACCAAATAATTTTCCAGTACCAAATTGAGAAATGAGCCCAACTTTTAAATCGAGAATCTACAATTTTCAATAAGCAATTACTAGCACACCTTCGGGGGAAGATTGAGAATGTCGAGGCAAATCCGGCCACCATTGTCGATATTCGGATGGTAAATCGGCGTCGCGAAAGTCACAATCGGAGGCTGAAACGGATACCTCTCAGGAATCTGGATCTTGACGTTGAAAACCCCTTCGGCGTACACAGTTCCTTCGGGACCTTTAATCTCTGCACAAAAACAAAACTTTTTTGACCAAAAAAAAAAAACAAAAACATACAAAACATTCGAAAGTATCTGGTGGCCGCAACTGACTTTCTCGGGAACCAAACAGGGAGTTTACTTACGGGCGTCGATGGAGGACAAGGAGAGCTCGGCGGAGTCGGGGGAAAGGCTGGGGAAGGAGGCGCCGTGAGGGGGATCGGCGAGGAGAAGCTTGAGCTCCTTCTGCATTCGGAGATTGAGCCTCGCGGCTTGTGCCATTGATTTCAATGGAGGTTTTTGCTTCCTTCTTCTCTGCTTCGATTTTTGATTTGCGGTTTTTGATCTTCTAGAACTGGGAAAATGGAGAGAGAGAGAGAGAGAGAAAAAGCGCGAATTATTATTATTATTTTTCAACGAAAGAGAATTTAAAAAATAAAATAAAAAGGGAAACAAAACAAATCTAGATTGTTGAGAGTGGGATTTGAACCCACGCCCTTTCGGACCAGAACCTTAATCTGGCGCCTTAGACCAACTCGGCCATCTCAACTTTCCCTGAGCTTTTTGAAAAAACACAAATACTTAAATATTAAGGACTAGTTTCCTTCATAAAGTCCAAATTTGAATGAAGGGCAGATGTTTGATGACCAATGTAGTGGATGGAGAATATGAACTTTACACTTTAAAGGTGAAATTAGATGTAAACTTACCGTTTGATTATGCTTACAAGGCTACTACCACCTTTAAAGATTAGTTAGATATATTTCTTTTATTAGTGAAACAAAACGTAGTTGATAATCTTTTTTTTTTAATTATATTCTTATAAACATACCCTACCAGAGTGGGTCTTAGGAGACGTTTGGTTTATAGATTAGAACCATGTGATTAGAATCATTTTCGATTTACGTGTATTTTTTGTGAGAGAAAATACTGTAGCGAACCACAAACTATGATTCGAATCAGGAAACGAATCTCCCAACCAAACAACCTCTTAGTTATCCGGGATTTTAGATTTGATGTTAAGAGAATTTACAAGTTGGATTAGATGACATATTTTCTTGCAAAGCATAGTTATAACCATGTTTAATGGAGAACAAAAAAAATGATTATAGCTAGAAAGAAAAGAATATATCGGCGTGTTGATTTTAATGATACGAGTAAAGCAATATCTGAATTAGTTAGCATAACACTTTAATTGACCAAATGCATATTTGCTAATAGTAACATTTATGCCGTCATTCCAAGTTCAATATATGATTGCCTTTATTTAAGGTACGACTATTGTGAAATATCAGAATTAATTTACTCACTTTTAAAAGAGAATAAAATCGTAATGATGAATCGTTTACCATATAGACAATGTTAATTTTTAATTGTATTACTAGGACATTCTTAGGTAGTGTCACAATGAGATCATACTGAAACAAGGTGTGTTTGCTTGTTGCATTAGTTTTTTTCTGTGATTAAGGTCATCTTGGTGTTATGTAATTGATTAAGTAGCATCAAGCTATTTACTCAGAAACAATAATGATTAGTGTCAAACTATATAACAACATTATTTAATGCAATGCGGCTTTTATATGCAACCGCGTGTGACAATTAGATAAGAAATAATTCACTTAATGTTACAACTTGAAGGAAGTTATCTCTATTAAGTGCTGTGTTATTTTACACTAAAAACTGTTCAATTGCTTATTTAGGAATCTATTCGCATAAAATTTACATATCGGTAAGCATCATTCTTTGCTCTAGCTAATTATATTAGTGAAATATGGAAAGGGCTAGGTATTGATCAAGTTTTTATAGGGGAATAAACTAATCAAATTTGGGCTTTTACAGCGTGCGCCAATTTGTATTGAGGGCAAAAGTTAAAGGGAAAATTTGTAGTAGAATTACAATACGTTTTAAAATTTTGTGATGTACCATTAGATGATGGAAATAATGATATGGATTTCTTTACAAGTGTATCGAAGACAGTTATGATCTTACTCACATGAGAGAAGAGACATGGCTCATTAAACCATAGTTTAACCTTCCTCTGTAAACCCTTTTTTTTTTTTTTTTTTACCTTCCTCTGTAAATTATTAACTAAAATTTTGAACTCTAATATGTATTCATCATTTAAGGTATGAGGGCCTTTGAGAGTGCTGAATTTATCAATAATTATTAAAATCTATTAATGACATAAAAAATAGTAGATTTGAGCTCTTAGCTTCCGTCTTGATGATGTGAAGAGTTGACTTGACTTGTAAAATTTGAGGAATGGTAATTTTTATTATAATTTTTTTTACACAATTCAAATGATAGATTGTGTCTCATCGTACTCCATTACTAAGGTTATGTTTGGTTAAAGGGATGTAGAGTATAAATAATGGAGAGAGTTGGAAGGATGAGGAGTAAGAATGATGGAGAGGATTATAGTAATCTTTTATGTTGTTTAGTTGGATGGAGGGAGAGTTGAAAGGATTTATGATAATTATTTGTTTAATTATTTACTGTCTATTTTACTATTTTTTAATAATTTATTTTGAAGGGTAGAAAAGTATTTTTATTTAAATTTGAGTAGATTAATTTGATTCTTCAATTAATAGAAAGATCCAAAATGATAGACCCGAAAGGAGACTCTCTCGCTCTATATATCATCTCATTCCTCTTATTCTTTCTATCAAACAAAGGATTCACCCTCCCTTTCCATCTCTCCCTCCTACCAAACATACCCTAAGTCATGGATCAAATTAATCAAATAGGGATACTGAGGTGACGCCCTAACAAACCACACATATATAACATCCATATAATTAGACACGGAAAATCATAGGAATTAATCAAACAAATAGACAAACGAACAACCACTTAAATAAAAATGTTAAACAAATTTATGGTCTAAAATTTCAAACAGAATGTCTATTAGTATTATTAAAACCAAGCGCGCAGCCCACAAAATCCCAATTCAAATCTCAACTCTCCCTCTTATAAATGAATACTTATCCACTGCATCAAAATCTTGGAAACTTTCCAAGATGGAATATTGTCCAAAAGAATCCAGCGTTTTATGATGTTATAATACGGACCAACCATTGGGCTGACTTTTGTAAACGACATTACGAGGCTTAGTCTTCACCCAACCAATGTGGTCCAAGACCACATTGATACCGTAGACCGGCGATCCACTGGAGTGGACCACTTTACAAACAACGTGAAGGCGACCACATTGATACGTAGACCGCCGATCCACTGGAGTGGACCACTTTACAAACGACGTGAAGGCCATAAACGACGTGAAACGGCTCATCAAACCAAAGAAGAGCAAAAAAAGCTTCAGAATCTTGCATGACAAGGCATAAGTCATGCGCGCGTGACTACACTCGCTGAAACCCCGACCGTGGGGCAGTATTTCAGCTTTCAAACTGCATCATCGAGTCAAAAAGAAGAGTTTAACTTTACATGGCACTGAAATTACTGCTAAATATTCTGTGTTCAAAATTTCTACCGTATAATTTGTCTATTCTTTTTTTTTAATTATTTATTATAATTATTATAAGTTTCCTTCTGTTCGGTCATTTTCCGATGGTATGATATACAATTAGGGACAATTATATGTGTCAAATATTGTAAAATTTTAATGCGGCGCACTTATAAATGCGGCTGTTAAATAAAACTTTACAGTTTAGTATAACAATACCGATTCATACTGAATAATAACAGTTTTCTACTGTAGAAATATATTTATTTTTTCAATAAACCTAGTCACTTTATTGTTTGGTTGGAAGATTCGTTCTCTGATTCAAATCATGATTCATGGTTCGCTACAGTATTTTCTCTCATAAAAAATACACGTAAATCAAAAATAATTCCAATCTCATAGTTCTAATCTATGAACTAAACGGGCTCAGATTACAATTTAATTGGGATCTTAAGTGCGAGAATTTTATAATAATAAAATATAAAAAGAAAAAATGTGTATATATACAATTAGGCTCTGCGTCTAATCTCAAAAGGTCACTCACCTAAAAGTCGATGGACCTACATCGCTATTAACTCTATTAATAATTGCTGTTATAAGAGTATAAGTTAATAGATCAATGGTTGAAATTTTTTAAGTAGTAAATGGAAGAAGAGACTAGGGAGATGAGGATTGGAAGAAATGAAGAAATTAGATAGAGGATTTGGGAAAAAAAATTAAAAAAAAATATTGCATAATTGAAAATTTTGGTCCATTGCAGCCTACTTTCCTTGCATATAAAGTTTAATTTCTTAAATGATTCAGGCTCTAAAATCCAATAATTTTATATTTTATTTTGTATTTTTATAATATAAATTGTGATGCAAAACTTGAATAAAAATACAAATAATATCATACTCGATATTTAAATGAAAACATGGTTATTATTCGAATAAATAAATAAAATTACTGTTCGTTGAAACTTGAATCTAAAACCTAAATACGTTGAAAGCAACTTATGCATATACTACACGCTAATTTTAATTAACTATTCAAATAAACAAATATACAAAAAAAGTACTCACTTTTCTTTTTTTTTCTTTTTTGAGGAAGGCAATTTGTATTTTTAAATCATAATTTGTATTTTTAAATCATAACATGACATATTCAGCAAAAAAAAAAAAAATCATAACAGACACCCCGTTCATTTCGTCGATTCGAGTTTTGTTACAGTAAAAAGCTCTTAGAAACAGTCACATCTAACTTTTTTGCTACAATAAAAAGCTCTCATACAAAATCACATATCAACTCGAATTACAAACTCGAATCATGAACGGGCTACGTACCTTACTTATCATTAATTTAATCCAAAAACTAATAATTTTTCTCCAACTTGAATTGGAAAAAAAAAATAAAAAGAAAATAAAAAATCCAATCACGGAGGCCACGCCAACATCATCGATTCCACGTTCATTGTTTCACATCTTCGTTCATTTCATGAGGAGGCAAGTGGGACCCAAGCCACTCCTCGTCGTACTCCTTAAAAAGGCGGTGCGTACACGCGCCCACTCCTCTCTGTCACCTTTTTCTCCCTTTTTTCGTACCCGTTCCGTTCGTATTTCTCCTCCCGCGTTCGCATGCTCAAGGCAAAGCTACTCTTCTCACAATTCGACACCTTTTTCTTTTCAAAACTTTCAGACGCAACAAAAAAATATCTCTCTCTCTCCTTTCCTTTCCCTCATATAATCCTCACTCTGTTTGTTTAATGAGAAAACCGCCGAGAAAATAATTTAAAAAAAAAGCTCGCAATGGAAAATCTTTAAAGAAGAATCGGCTAACTACCTCTATCACCATCACTTCGATTAACACTACCTCCATTGACAGCTTCTTCTCTCTCAAATTCGAACTTTCTATCTCTCTATATCTATATATATATATTTGTGTATATATTTATATACTTGTATCGGAGCTCTTTTTTCGACGGTCGGAGTTGCTAGAGTTACAGAGGTTACAGAGGCTGGTATCGGAAGACGGAGACAGGCCAATCGGAGAGGGAAATCGAGGAAGATGAATGCGGTGGGGAGACAGGTGCCGAGATCTAATCACCAGCGCCAGTACTCTGACAACTTCTTAGACGCCTCCTCCAAGTGGTTCCAATCCGCCAGTAATCTCTCGCAGGTATGAGAATTCTCAATCCCTAATTCCACTTGCGATTTCAACTTGTTTTTGGAAGCTCGTGAAAGTGATTTGTGTTTCGCGAGCAGGATTTCACGCTCTATGGGGCAAGAACGGGCAGGAACGCGCCGCCGAGGAGCGGCAGAGAGCGGTCGCCGTCGGAGTCGCTGACGCCGTCGCTTTGCTCGAGATCTTCGAGCATGAGGATGTACGGAGAGGATCAACTGTCGCCGAGTGAGCTTAGCCCCGGCTTGCTCGATCTGCATTCCTTTGACACTGAGCTATTGCCTGAGGTTAGCCTTAGGCCTTTCGTTTTTTTTTCTTTTTTTGGTTTTGATTAAAAATTGATCGACAAAAATTTAATCAATTTTCTCGGTTTTGCAATAATCTGTTTAGAGCATGGGGCAAAAGATTATTTTTGAATATGGTTTTGGTACATCTTTTATATATGTGTTTTTTGGAACGTTTTTTGAACCTAGCGTCTAGAGTATCCTTTTACATAGGTTGAACTTTGTAAAATTATAGCCTTTATAATTGTAAACCAAAATGAAAGTGATATTACTTTCTCGCCAGTGATTTTTAATTATTTGACTATTGGAGCTTTTATCGTTTTCTGAACATGAACCAAAGGGAGAAATTAACTTTTGTTTTTTCTTTATTTATGTGTATTTTTCATTTGGAATGTTTGATTAAAGCAGTTAGTATGAAAGGAAAAAAAAGGTGTTATTTGATTTGATTTACAAGATCTATTCTTCGGGTTTATCAGTCTTACTCAATAAAACATATTTTTCTTAAGAAAACATGACACTAACTATTGATATGTGTGCTTTGAACGCTACTGCCAGATGCCCATAGCCAGCCTATATAATGGGAACAAACGTCACCAACCAGTTCTTGGTAAAAGTCTTGATGATGCCGGACCATTTCTGTCCATCAACAAGCTTACAAGCAAAGCGCGAGGTTTTCAGGAGAATAATCCTCTTAAAAGTTTCTCAGTTGACAAAGAAAGAGCCAACAATGTCGCAAAAATCAAAGTTGTGGTATGTCTCTGTGATACAGTGTTAAAGAAGTTTCTCTTACTCTGCCTTGTGTGTAAGCATTGGATTTTGACTCCTTGTACAAATTCCATTGCCAAATAAAGCAATTAAGAATGACTGTTTTGTAAGCAGTAGATATTGAAGCTTCCAGTTGCTACACTTTCTTTTGGCACAAATATTTAGTGATAACTTTGATTACAGGTGCGCAAGAGACCACTAAATAGAAGGGAAATTGCAAAAAAGGAGCAAGACATAATAACAATAGAACCAAATTCCAATTATCTCACTGTTCATGAAACAAAACTCAAGGTAAGCAGTTGGTGGGTCATCTTCTGCAACTATGATCATTATTGAAACTACGTCTAGATGGGAATTTTTCGTTTCAAAATCTGGAATTATTGTCAAGACAATTCATGCTTTCATCTTTTATTATTTTCCTACAAAGTGAAAATGTTTGCCTGAATGAACCAAACTTATTCAGCTGAGTTAAAGTTGTCTTAAGAAAACTACTGGAACTGAAAAGCGAGGAAGTTCCAAGTTTAACATGTCATAAATGACTACTGTAGTTCATAGAATTTAATTTCTTTGTATTTTTTTTAAAGATTAAGAAAAATGGGAAGAAAAAAAAAATTCTAATTCACTATCTTCTGCAGGTCGACTTAACAGAATATGTTGAGAAACATGAATTTGTTTTTGATGCCGTGCTGGATGAAGATGTTTCAAATGATGAAGTGAGTATATGGAAAGACTTAAACCCACCTCACAAGGACCAACATGCTGGTTTTATGGTTTCGTGATTTTTTTTATTTTGCTTAAATTTTTTGTTTTCTTTGGTAGGTGTACTCTGAGAGTGTGGAGCCCGTAGTTCCTCTGATTTTTCAGAAAACGAAAGCAACATGCTTTGCATATGGCCAAACAGGCAAGTGCTTAAACTCATATATCTCAAAAATATGCTATTATGCCTATATCATTTTTTCTGGAATCACGCATCTTTCAGCTATACAGTCTGTTCAAAGTTCAGGGACTAATGGTGAATAGTCTGTATGACATATCATGGTATCTTGTGTCAATCACTTTAGAACGCCCACCCGCCCACATCTCACCCCATGGTAATAGACCACAAGAAATTTTAATGTCCGAGAATGATGCATAGTCATACAAGTTATTGCCTATTTCCTAAGAGGCCTCATTGCTTTTATCATAACACACTTCTCTTTTGTATCCTTGAATTATTTTACAGCCCATAGCCGTCTCTCTTTTTTTTTTCCCTTCCCCTGTACGCCGCCACCAAATGACCAAATACTTGCTCTACTTCTGCTGATTCTCATATTAAACCGACTAATAGCACACAAAGGTATATAGATAGATAGCACACTCTGGAATTTTTAATCGTTGCATATTCAATTTGTTTCTCTTTGCTGAATCTTCTTCTTTCATTGTAAATTTTCATGCATAAGCTTTGGGCTGATCTTCTTTGCTTTTTCAGGCAGTGGTAAGACTTATACTATGCAACCACTGCCCCTCAAAGCATCTCAAGATATTTTAAGGTCAATGCACCAAACATACCGGAATCAAGGCTTTCAATTATTTGTCAGTTTCTTCGAGATATATGGGGGGAAACTGTTTGATCTCCTAAATGATCGAAGGTACGTTGTCTCAACCTTTGGGGGGGGGGGGGGGGAGTTGGATATGCAGGCTTTATTTTTATTTTTAAAAAATAAATTATCCTTTTGCAGAAAGCTTTGCATGAGGGAGGATGGTAAACAGCAGGTGTGCATTGTGGGCTTGCAAGAATACAGGGTCTTTAATGTGGAGACAATAAAGGAGCTTATTGAAAAAGGGAATACTACAAGAAGCACCGGTACAACTGGTGCAAATGAGGAATCTTCTAGATCACATGCTATACTTCAGCTATGTGTCAAGAGATCAGCCGACGGAAGTGAATCAAAGCCTGCCCGACTTGTAGGCAAGCTATCTTTCATAGATCTTGCTGGAAGTGAGCGTGGTGCAGATACTACTGATAATGATAAACAAACAAGGTAGAGATTTCTTTTGAGGAAATTTAAGAAACCTTATATCTGCCACATAGAGCAAAGCAAGTCATTTGCATTGACAGAATAAAGGAGCCAGGGAGTTCTTGGAGATCTTCTGCGCGGGAATTGGACCAAGGCGTCACTAGCTTTTTCTCATCCTGTATTTATTTATTTTGATGTTGTCTAGTACTACTGTGTTATTAAAACAATGATAATATGAACATTTTCATGCAGAATGGAAGGTGCTGAGATCAACAAAAGCTTACTAGCTCTAAAAGAATGCATTAGAGCCCTTGATAATTACCAGGGTCACATTCCTTTTAGAGGAAGCAAGTTGACTGAAGTGCTTAGAGACTCATTTGTCGGTGACTCACGTACCGTTATGATTTCATGCATTGCGCCCAGCTCAGGATCATGTGAACACACCCTCAACACGCTAAGATACGCTGACAGGTATGTGGTCTGTACATAGTAGAACTGTACAATTCGTGGAATGGAAATATTTTTTGTAATTTCTCAATCTTACTCATTGCCGTGCCAGGGTAAAGAGTTTATCTAAAGGGAACAACTCTAGAAGGGATCAGTTGTCTTCGTCTTCAAACCTTAGAGAATCTACTGCACTTCCTTTGCCTTCTGTTTTACCAATTGAATCAACCTTTGAGGATAACATGACATGTGTTACTAATGAAAAGAACAAGTTCAGTCGGTCCAAGCAGATTGAAAAAGATCTCTCCCCACCATTTATTGTGGATCGTGTTCCTAGCAGGAGGATAGAAGGAAGTTTGGCTGCATCTGTCTATTCAGATTATTATAAAGGTCAGAGAGGTGGTCCAAATGGTTTATGTGAAGATGATTTTGATTATACTGAGCAGTACTATGAAGAAGAAAAACCATCACAAATGAATAGCAAGAAGGTAGATACATACCAAAAATCACTTCTGGAAGACAAGAGGAAGATTGGTACTCAGATGAAGCACAGGAATCAGCAAGACTTTGAGGCCAACAACTCTAATTCTGATGATGATCTTGTTGCCCTCTTAAAGGTAATCACGTTCTTGACATCGATTATTGGTTTTCGTATCAATTATCAATTTATAAAAGGTTGTAAGTCTTTTGTGATTGATGCCAGGAAGAGGAAGATCTTGTGACTGCTCACAGAAGACAAGTAGAGAAGACGATAGACATTGTTAGGGAGGTCGGTAATATTTTCTTTTTTCTTTTCCATTTTGTTTTTCTTGCACGTATTAAACCAATTATGGCTGCACTTGTGCAGGAAATGAATCTGCTGGTTGAAGCTGATCAGCCAGGAAATCAGCTATATAATTACATCACAAAACTAAACGCCATACTTTCACAGAAGGCCACAGAAATTCTTCAACTGCAGAACCAGTTGGCTCAATTTCAGAAGCATCTGAATGAGCACAATGTTTTGGTGTCTTCTGGTGATTGATATAATCTCTAGGGTGATGATCGACACAATGCGAGTTTTAAGTTGATATGATCATTGATATTTTCTATTGGTTGGGGTTTTGTTTGATTTATGGGTAACTTCAACCGGTTACATGTTCCACTTTGTAATGGGGTTAGTTTTTGCTGGTTTTGTTTCTTTCTTTGTAACTTATGAAGACTCTTTTGTAAAATCTGCATAAGAAAGAAAAAGGAAAAAGAAAAAAAAGAAAAAAAAAGAAGAAAAAAGCAAAGCCATGCTTGAGTTGCTAAGATAATTTTTTCATCAATATCTGAAACCAAACAATATTTCTCAATCATCTTGTTTGAGTTGGTGATTGGACCTTGTTTTTGCGCTTCGGGTTGTTGCTAGATCATGTCGTTTGGAGTTATGATCTCTATCTATTGTAGGGACCATGAAAAGTATCAACTTATACAATTTCAAATTGGCATTGTTTGTAAAGCCCTTTTATAGTGCAATTTTTTCTCGTTCATTTCACCAAGTTTAGAATTCAAATTTTATTACAGTAAAAAGCTCTCAGAAATAATTACATTCTCAAATTAAAAACTCGAATCAACGAACTAAATGGACTCTAAGCTTCGTCCATTTTGAATCACAACTTAAATTTTTTGCCACAGTATTTTTTACAAAAATTCAAAATTTTTTTTTTCTGCTACCATGTTTTGAACTTAATATGTAACACTTGTACAATTTATTAACCCTTTGAAACAGACAGCCACCCTTTCATCTGTGTTCCCCAAACAATGACCCTTTTATTGTTCCCCCTCAAGTGGATAGATCAAAAGACAAGAACATCTGTATTACCAAAATTATCCCCACCAGTCAAAAAGATAACTTACAAGATTACCATCAGTAATCTACCAGATGCTGCCAGAAAGGCATTCCCTGATCATGGGTGCTGATTCTCGGTTCTCAATAACTACTTGATATTTTAATTTTGATTGAGATGAAATGATCCTTATACATAATTTAATATAAATTTTAATTAGCATAATATGATAGGTATAATAATTTCTTTTTTTTAAATATGTGCATAATTCAATCTTATTATACTATATTCTGCTCAATCTTTTTTTTTTAAAAGTAATAATCTGCTCAAAATAATAATAAAAAATTAATAAAATTGGATAAAAGATACAATTTCTTGTCATAGGATTCTCCTAATTATAATGAAGAATTATGATCAAATTATAGTGTCACAACAGAAAAATCTAAAATTGACCTATTATCATCAAGTTTGTTGACAAGTGTGAACCTTCCTTCACTGTGGCTAATCATGATACCAAGCATTTTGGCGGCTCTTGATTGTTCAGCCATTACCCAAAGGCAATCTTAAAACCCCAATTAAACTAGTGCTTTTACTTCCATTTCTGTTGAATTTTCACTTGATGGAGACATTGGCTTGGCCTTAGGGAACAGATGGCACAAACTCTGCAGCCTAACATTTGTCGACATTAGCGTTTTTCATAACTTCCATCATTTCGACCTCTTTTTGCTTCGTGGATGAACCGCATGTATATGTTACCTAACACGATAAATTTTAGCCTTATTTTTTTTATTATCTTTTTTATTAATTATTTAACACGTAAATTTTATTAATATAATATATTATTATTTAAATAAAAGATTAAATATAATAAAATTTACGTGTTAAGCAGTAAATATAAAAAATGATTAAAAAAATGACTCTATCTAACATAACTCACATGTCTTCAGTGAAGTGTTAATTCAGATGAAATGATAAATTTTGTGTCTCAAAAGTCAAACACAGTCGATTAAACTTTTTGTCCCTATTAATAATTCATAAGAACACTAAAACTATCTAATCAAGTGGTTTAAATTCATTAGCATCTTAGAGTTTGTGAGATTTATTTTCGGTCTAAGAAAGAGAAACTGATAGAGATAAGATCCGACTAGCGTTAGCTCTATATCTACCTTCAATTTTTTAGGGCATAAGTTCACGTCTTTTCACGCTTAAATCTGAAAAAGAAAAGAAAAAAAAAAAAAAAAAAACCTCCAATAATATTGAAATTTCATTAAAAAAATTTATCTCTCGTTCTACGACTAAAACAAGAATAAGGGACATAATTGCAAGCACAACATAAACATAAAGATATATAACATTGATGTTTAGAGTTTGAATCTTTCTGCCTTAATTTGAAAAAATAATAATAAAAGATAAGTCGGTGGTAAAATTTTATTGTCTTTGTTATTTAAGTTTTAGATTCAATTTCTACTAAAACAAAGCCTTAATAAGAGGGGAGATTTTATGGTACGTTTAACGTACTGATAAGTTAAATTTATATGATTTTATATAAATTTAACAGAAAAAATACAGGTCTCGTTCACTTCGCAGATTCGAGTTGAGATATGATATTTTCTGAGAGCTTTTCACTATAGCAGAAAAGGTTAAATGTGATATTTTTTAGAGAGTTTTTTACTGTAAAAACTTAGAATTAAAAACTCGAATCGGTGAAATAAACGAGACCTTAATCTACTGATATATTAACGTACTAGAGAAGATGTCTAATAAGCGATCCATTATTTGCAAAAGTCAAGCCACAAAAATATAGCTACCTAGCTAAATCAAAAGCTAATACAGTATGTGTCTAAATTGACAAGTTCTTGACGCAAACTGTCGTACAAAAAGATAATACAAACTGAGAACCATCGTCCACTTGGAGTTATTTCATTGTTAATTGATCAGATGAGGAACATGAGCTGGTCTCTTTTGTGCTTTTTGAGCTCATTGGTTGGTAGAATAATACATGACACCACCAAATCAAAAAGTCAATGAGAAATGAACGAAAGAAAAAATAAGTGGGTTTGTAAGAATGGCATTTGGATTAATTTTTGTTTTTGTTTTTTTGTTTTTTTTGTTTTTTCGCTCTGGATAACCAATTTTTGTTGTCTGCGCATGATGAGTATGCACTTTGACTTTTGGACATTCATATTTGAACTCCCCCAACATCGTTTTCACATAAAATTGCAATATGAATATATATTTTTTTCAATGGTGAAGAAAAACGTAAATATGATGTAATAAATATTATCAAGTATCGGTTACCACCTTGTATATATAGCAAAAAAAAAAAAAAAGGGTTACCACCTAAATATTTAAGTCGTTGTCTTAATTAAAAAAAAAAATGTAACAAGAAAACTTGTTTTGTGTGTCTTTATTTGTGAGTGGCTAATGACCTTGACACTTGGTCCGAACTCTATCACTCAGATTATGGCATCCCAGAAGTGAACAACAAATACAATGACTTGAGGACAATACAAAGCAATAACTTGGACACATCAGCACTGTATGGAAAAAAAAATAATTTCATCAACAAATACACCATCTCTTTGCAAATGTCAAATTATAATTATAATTTTTATTTTTATTTTCATTTTTATAATTAGAATGATTATATTGTTGAGGAGCAAGAAATGATAGCCTCGTTCCCACAAAAGAAGAATGACAGCCTAGTCGGAACCTTTTTAAGTTCATTATCAAGTGCATTGACGCAAAGACTAATTGCCAAATGTCAAAACGAATTTGAAGGAAGCATTTATAGAAAGTGGACGCCTTTTGTTTTTTGAAACCCAAGTGAGCAAGGGGTAATTGGCGTTATATTACCCCTATTTTTTTTTTTTTTGAATGCAAAACACTATTTCATTAACCAACAAAAAACTTAATACAAAAAACTCGATACAATAAATCAAAATCAATAGATCCGTTAGCGTCTTAATACATGGATTCAAAGTCCGATGATGGACACAATTTGAAACAATTCTCTCAGCTCCTTTAATTCTCCCTCCACGGTTGGTTCTCCTGAATAAGTTATAGCAAACTCTCTGTAAAAAACCAATCTCTCGAAGCCAATATTCTTCCAGATCAAGCTCGTCGAAGCGGGAGATCTGACGAAAGGCATATAAAAGATAAAAAAATAACACAAAACCCACAGGAGGTTAAAGCTTGGTGTGGAAACACAACTAAAATCAATAAAAACAACCAAAGCTAACAGATCTAACTGTTTGTGGGAGGAAACAAACACCAACACTAGCAGAATGACTGCCTTTATTCCACCAACGATTAAAAAAAGAGAAAAAAACACTAATACGGACTCCACCATCATGTAGATCGATCGAAGTAGAGCGCGTGAATGTACTACCCTTGAATTATAAACACCGTGATCTTTTAATCTTTAATATAAATTTATGCATACAAAACTTTATTTCAAATCATGTAAAAAGAATTACATATAAATAATCTTTGGGCATCCACTCTTGAAGGAATTCCTTTTAACTTACCTGGCGTTGATCCTGTCGGCAAGTCAATGGAATAGCAATTAATTTTCCCCCCTAAATCTAAAATTGTTGTAACATCTAATTATGTCATATGATGCATACACGAACCTAATGTCATAGAAACCTAATATATAAAAGGAAAAATAATGTTTCAATTTCGAAGTTTCAATTTGGAAGGATGAGGAAAAAAAAGATCATATATATACAAATTAAAGTTTAGGACATGTTGTCACAAATGTTAAAAATTTAGGGAGAATTTATAAAACGTGTCATATATATATATATATATATATATGTGTATGTATGTGTATGTATATGCGTATATATGTATATTTCATATGCTGCTGTAAGGGAAATCATTGCAACTACACGAGGCGGAAAATACCTAGAAGTTTTTAATTTCCCCATATGGCGGTTTAGGCTAACACTAGTGTCTTATAATTCACTAAATACTTTAACCTAATAAGACACCCGTTTATAGCTTTTGTTTTCTAAAACAGTAATAGATATGGTCTTATTTTAAGTCTGAATTATCTCTTTTTCAAAATATTCATTCCATTCCGGCACCATCTTTGAACTTTCCGTAATCTGCTTTCAAGATTTGGTTGGTACTTGTACAGTATACACTATAAATGTACACTATATATACATAACAAAATTGTGTTGATCCACCCACTAAGTATGCCATAAATATTACCCGTAAAGCAGGAAATTTTGAAACGTGACACTTAGAGATGTTTAGTTGGAGGATTCAAACCATGATTTGAATCATGGTTCATGGTTCGTTATAGTGTTTTCTTTCACAAAAAATGCACGTAAATCGAAAATAGTTCTAATCAGATAATTCTAATGCATGAACCAAACGTCTCCTTATTAGACTAATCCAATATTTAAGCATGTAATTAATTTACAAGACGGTTATAGCCTTATAGATCAAATATAACTAGCAACAGGATTACTCTCCGATATCGTTTTCACGACTAATCACGCACGTGGGATGGGGAAATTAAGTTGATTTTAGTGAAGATTGTTGGTGTAGTAGAACTAGTTTATTAATTTATGTATTTTGGGATGTGTGGTTTTGAAGTTGTTTATCAAATTTAGACCTTAAGAAAATACCTCTTTTGCTTTTTCTAATTACTCCAACCAACCAAGGATGGTCTCAAAGCTTATGTCAGCTTAAATATGATTATGATATGCTAAGAAAAGATTAACCTCCATCATTTTATATATGAGAGAAATAATTATATATTGCATTTCCTTTATTAGATTGTTTTGAGTTTTGAGCTTTCATTAAATAACGTTAGATATATTGTCCCGGGTCTAGGGTGCATGAAAAAGACTTCTTGAAATAGGGACAAATGATTTGTGCATAAAAGATAAATAAAACCCCCCTCAGCCACAGCCATATACCAAAGTAGGTTGGGAAATAAATATTACGTCAGAAATTAGAGAGTGGTATTACTGCAAACAAAAGAAACGGAAATGAAAGGGGGCAAAAAAACAAAAAAAAAATCTGCAAATTAGTAGTCATTAGTCGAATAAATTATTATATATATGTCTCAAACATTATTGGAATGGCCTTCTATATATGAATAAAAGAACCTTCTCTCTATGTTTCAGATTTAATTTTATGTTATATTAAAAGGGAATCAAATGTATGATGGGAAAGTATTCTTAATTTAGTGCATTAGCCCATAAAAAAGGCCGATTAAACAATTTTGACGCATGTAGTGCCTTGTGAAAATGTTTAGAATTATGAGCCACTATGGCTTTGCTCATTTAGAAATGTTTTGGTATCATGTGGGTCAAGTCGTAAGTATATATTTAAACTTCATGTGAACATTTAATCAAAATTTGTGACCCCATTTCTCATTTGGGCAAGTAATTTCTTTCTAAATGGGGAAAAAGACACAAGAATTGTTGGTCTGTGTATTATTTTTTTGGAGGGGAAGTTATGGAATTCACATTGGTTGGGTAGCTAGGAGCACCTATCCTCATTTAATTAGAAGTCCTTTGTATATAAATACAAAAATAGCAAATCCGTGTGTACTTTTAAAAAAAAAAAAAAAACAAGAAACTTATGGAATTCACATTCGTTATATCCACTTATATATCCTCATTCAGCATTTTCTTCTTTGTACTAAAATAATCAAAGGACCAATTATTTAAATAAATAATAAATAAACAAAGAACAAGAAAAAGAAGTATATAATATCCTACTTTCTTATTTCATTTCATTTTATTTAATTTTAAAACATTGAACTTGCTTGTCTGAAGAATGATCATAAAGAAAACAACCAAGCAATTATCGTTGTCTACTATCATGTGAAGTGACCACAAAATACTTCTACCAAACCCTAATAACGTCAAATACTCCTTTTTCTACCCAAACTTTTTTTTTTATCTTTCATATTATGTAGAAATATAGGTCTTGTTTAGAATTGATCACGTTTTTATTTTTTATATTTTTTGAGAAAGAAAAAATAAAAATGTTTTCAAAACGGCGTTTGGCGCAATAAAGACAAAAAATAGAAATAAAAACGATTTTTTTGATTTAGTGTAAAATGAGAGAGAAATGAAAAACGACTTTTAGTCGTTTTTCATTTTCTCCTCTCTCGAGTAGATATAGAGAAATAGAGACATTAAGAAATTTTTTACAGTGAAAATAATCTCTTGATAAAACTACCAAACACATTTTTAAAAATAATTTCTATCTAAGATTGAAAACGTTTTCATTTTCATATAAAAAATAAAATTATTTTAAAACGTGTTCCAAACGCGCCCATAAATACTACAATTAACATAACATGGTTAATATGAGTCCACAAATACACAATTCAAGATTTCCAAACCTTAGGTATCGTATAATTTTGAACCCTTAAGTTATATGCTAAACTAAAAAAAATGATAAAATAATAAAAAGAACTGTAAAAAAAAAATTAAGGAAGGGCTAAAAGAGTAAAACGACAAAGGTGGGATGGGAGAGTCTGAGATGGAGACAGGCAAAGATTTTGGACGGATAAATATGCTCCCCAGGGCCCAAACACTACGTCCAAACAGAGCCTGAAATAGATTAAAAGAAAAGTGGTCCTTACACGTGGCAACACGGATGGGCGACACATGTGGCTCCATGCCTTTGTGCGCAGCCTAAAAGCCAAAAGCAGATCGAATTCCGAGCGACCGAATCTAAGCCACTGTTTGGCCCCCCTCTTTTTTTTTTTTTTTTCATTAAAATCTTTTTCTCTCTCTCAATCTCCTTTCTAAGCGCGTGCTTTTCAACTTAAACGACAAGTCGTTTCAGCTTCTCTTTGAGTGTTTTTTTTTTTTCCCTTGTAAAAAACCCACAACAAATTTAGGCCCGTTCACTTCACTGATTCGAGTTTAGAATTCAAGTTAAGATGTGACTTTATATGAGAACTTTTTACTGTAGTAAAAAAGTTATGTGATTGTTTGTGAGAGCTTTTTACTGTAAAAAAATTTAAATTCTAAACTCAAATAAACGAAGTGAACGGGGCCTTATTGTACGTACTAAAGACGATATACACGTAATTATATATTCATTTTTTTTTTTTGCGTGTTTTCCCTCTGGATTTTTTCATGGCATGACACCTTTAAAAGGTGTTTCAGTAGATTAGCAAAAAAAAAAAAAAATGTTTCAGTTAAATGTTTGAAATTTTTTGCAATAGTAATTAAGCTTTAGTTTCATATTTGCGCTATAGTAAAAAGCCACGTGCATTAGTAATTAATTACAACAATAATTTCATCCAGATTTTAACCGGTGTTTATCATTAGAAGGGAATTGCAACGACTTCTTTAATCCAAAGATTGAATTGTCCATATTAACTGTGATAATAATCATTACAATGGTGAGAAATCAAATTTTTCTCATTATTTTTTCCTGCCATGTTGCTGTTTTTAGTCCTAAAGCCAGGGTCAGTTTGAGAAAAGTGGTAACGTTTGATTTATACATTCAGAATCCTGATTCTGAATCATTCTCAATTTATGTGTGTTTTTTATGAGAGAAAATACTGTAACGAACTACGAATCATGGTACAAATTCACCAACTAAACACATCACGTATGGATTGATTAAGCCTTGAACATATTGAATAAAGTATTAGTAGGTTATCTTACTGGTCAAGGTGTAAAAACAATGTTTTAATTTAACCCTATAAGAAGATTGAGATCAAGGTTTTTGTAAAATTCTCTCATAAGGTACGTAACATAAAAAGAGAATCTTTAATAATGGCATCCTAATTATTTATGAGATGACGACTTGATCTGTTTTTAATGGAAGGATTTCAATTAACTTCCGAATTGGGAGAAAGCATGGCTTACGACTCATGATGATGGAGGGAAACTTGGCGTTTGAGCAACGACTCTTGATAGCAACGGGGTTGTTAGGCTACAGGTGGCAGGGCTTGCGACCGACGACCATCTTCTCTCGTGTTTAAAGATTTTGCAATAGACTTCTATTTTCTTTGTTTTAGGGTTTAGCTTTTCTTTTTTCCCCTTTGAAAAATAACCAAAAAAAAAAAAAAAAACACACACACACACACCTTTAATTACAAAAAAAAAAAAAAGAAAACCAATATACTTAAAAATTTGAGGATCAATAATGTTCATTACTTTAAAATTGTAAATAGCATAATTCTAAACCGATGAATTTTAATTTAAATTGTCATATCATTTATTAATTTGATTAATTCTACCATGATCTAACGGTTTAAAATTATATATCTACAAAATCTAGATTCTTTGTCTAATTTTTAGTGTCTTAATTTGTGTATAACCAATCAAATCACACTACATCATCTCATAATAATTACAAAAGAATTTAGTTGAAAAATTTATACGACATGGCGTAATATAGTTGGTTAGATATTAAGGTTGCGTTTGGTATGAGAGTTATAGAACCGGAATCATGATTCTAGTTTCAAACCTTTGTTTGTTTGTAAAAAGTAAAAAATGATTCTTGAAAATTAGTATTTGGTTTATATAGTTTTTGTTCAAAGTTTGAATCTTGATGTGATATTTTAAACGAGAACCACCCTAAAAAATAAAAACCACATCCACTAGCCCGTTTGGTTCATGGATTAGAACTATTTTTGATTTACGTGTATTTTTTGTGAGAGAAAATACTGTAGTAAATCATGAATCATGATTCGAATCAGAGAACGAATCCTCCAACCAAACGAGAAACGGTTTAAACCTCTAATTTTAATTCTAATTCTAAAACTATGGGTTGAACTCAAAATTTAAACTATAAATCATAATTTTAGTTTTAAAATTAAAATCATCATAATTTTAACTTTTATACTAAATATAAATGAGACACTAAGTGGACGTTTAGCTCATGGATTCAGAATTATGATTCAGAATCATTCTTAATTTATATGTATTTTTTATAAAAAAAAAAATTATAATAAATCACGAACCATAATTTAAATCAGGGTACGAATCCACTAACTAAATAAGTTATAAAATTTGACAAGAGGTTTGAGTTCTACGTATTGGATACGAGAATGTATCAAATTTATGCTATTTCCGTTTAATCGTTATCCATAATGGAACTCACCAGCCAATAGCAAGCAATAAGAATAGGATAGATCATTCTGTCGCGTAGCTAAGCCCTTTGTCCGAAGCAAGGGGACCACGTCACCAAATTGTAATAGCAGCAAAAACACCCCACGCACCTAACCTGCGCGTGGGCTACGCTCTCGTCAAACGAAAATATCTAACATTCTAACTCTTCGGGCGATGACGTGTGCTAAAAGATGAAAAAAGAGGAGCCAAAAGCGGGTCCCACCCCGTGAAGCCAGCGAAATATTAGAACGCTACAGATTTCCGCCACGTTAGCTCCTGCTTCTGTACGCGCGACCCTTTATATGTTACGATGGTACCTCAACCTTTGTAAATAACTGAACCTGTACTTTGTCCACACTTTAGCCTTCCTTTTGCCTCTCCACTCCGTCTCAGAATCAGTGAGCAGAAAGAGAGAGGAAAAAGAAAAGAAGAAAAAAAAACAGAAAGAAAAATCACAGTATATGGGATGGAGGCAACGAACAACATCATAGCACCGTTCGTTATGAAGACTTATCAGATGGTCAACGATCCAACGACGGACAATCTGATCTCCTGGGGAAGAGCCAACAACAGCTTCATCGTCGTCGACCCTCTTGACTTCTCGCAGCGAATCTTGCCCGCTTATTTCAAGCACAACAACTTCTCCAGCTTCGTCCGCCAGCTCAACACTTATGTAAGTTTATAATCTTAATCTTAATCTTTAATCGAATCACTTAAAAAATAAGTTTTTTTTCTAATATTTAACTAAGTACTTTGTAACAACAAGCAGAAATTCCGAAAGGTCGATCCCGACCGGTGGGAGTTCGCGAACGAGTGGTTTCTCCGCGGTCAGAAGCATTTGTTGAAGAATATTTTGAGGCGAAAACACAACAGTGGCGGCGGCAGCAGCAACAATAGCAAGAATAATTATTATTCCAATAGCAGTATTTGTCTTATGAATTTGGTGAACCAGGAGGATTATAGTCGTGAGGATGAAGAGATTGTAATGGAGATAGCGAAGCTAAGAGAAGAGCAGGAGGCGCTGGAGGAGGAGCTTCAAGGGATGACGAAGCGACTCGAGACCACGGAACGCCGTCCGCAGCAGATGATGGCCTTTCTCTACAAGGTCGTTGAGGATCCCGATATCCTCCCCCGCATGATGCTCCAGAACAAAGAACGGACCAATCAGCTCAACGAGAAGAAGCGCCACCTCGCGATTTCCTCAACGACGACGTCGTCCAACTTCTCGTCGCCGTCGGTAAAGACGGAGGAGCTGGAGGACGACGTCGGAACGACGGGGGTGGTTTCGTCCTCCTCGCCGGAGACGGGTTTCGAGATGGAGAGCTTTTACCAGTCTTCGCCATCGCCGGAGGGGCCGCCGGTGGCTGGGTGGTGGGGCCAGGGAGGATTCACGGCCGTTCCTAGCCCGCTTTCGGCAGTACAGGTCTCCGGAATCGGGAACGGCGCAGCGGTGGCGAATTCGGCGGCGAGTATTATCTCCGGATATGGAAATGCGAATGGTGGTAGTGGGCAAATAGGTTATTTTGCGGAGTCAAATCGTCCTCCGGTTCAACCGCCTTATCCTTTCTCGTTGTTTGGAGGTGGTTTTTAATTCGTTAGTTGCTTCACGAGATTTATCTTCTTCTTTTGTATTTCTCCTTATTAATATTATTATTTGCTTTATTTCTTTTTCTTTTTCTAGGGTATTTTATTTTTTTGGTTTTATGTAAACAGAAAAGAATTAATAATATGTTTTGATATATTGACCGCACAATTTTTTTTTCACTTTTATGTTGTGAAAATCTAAAATAGTAGTGAGAACAAGGCCCGTTTGATACACGTATTTAAACTTATAATTCTAATTTTATTTTAGTATTTTTTTCTTAAAAAATTTAAATTAAAATTTTTTTTTCTCTCACAAAAAATTTGAATATATATAAAAATTATTGATTTAAATACCTGAACCAAATTTGGCCGACATATTTAGAATTCACATTTTAGTTCATATTTGTTTCATCTCATCCTACCAACTTCTAATTAAACTTGTTTTAAGGCAGATTTTTCATATATATATATATGTGTATATATATAAAAGTTAATTGTGGTTGAGGCCAATTAAATTTAATTAGTCCTATATTGTATACATATATGAGTACACTATTCAATAAAATACACACACATATTTATGGTGTGAAAACAAGAAATTTTAAAGTTGATTATTTTTAAGGCAAAAATTTAATTTTATTCGTTAGGTTAATGTAATTAGTTATATATAAAGGGGTATAATTTAAGTAAAGCTTTTTACAATAATTTTTAAGTAATATATGGTAATCGTTTTGTAATATCTTAGATTTTACCGTAACAAAAAGTAAAACCTTAAATTTTTACGATATACGTATTTTTATAATCTCTTTATTCAGATATAATAACTTCTTAAAAAAAAACAACTCATAATTTGGCGAGACACACATCATTACATGTTCCCTACTGAAGACTCATATATAATAATGTGAAATTTAGCTTTTGCTATATTCATTTAAAACAATAATGTGAATTTCACCTACAAAAGGCCAAAAATGGGAATTTGGTGTGCACGTGTATTTTTATCCTTTATTTACTAATTTTTATCCTTTGTCTTTTGATCCAGCTTCAAGTTAATTCAGGTGGAGTCAAAGAAAACGATAATGAACATTATTCTCTCTTCCAAAGCCGCAATAGTGCCACACTGCCACGTTATACCAAAAGAAAAAGAAATGGTCAGCTCAGCCTGGTCCCAACAGTCAAAGCCCGCCCGCCTGCAGCGAAGCCATTGGCGAAGAAAGCCATGATTTTGGGGCGGTGAAAGTCCAAAGCCAGCAGTCAATAACAACAAATAATAAACCCAACAACTGAGCTGCCAAGCCGATCTCAAATCCACGTGAGCACGACCCTTGGATTGCCTTCAGGACACTCAAAAACTTGCTCAATCCAAATCCAAATCCAAATCCATATCCAAATCCATACAAAAAAGGTTTTTCTGTTTTTCGCTTATAAATATGGTGGGCCATGCCATCCTCTCTGTAGCCATGCCCTATCTGAGATGGCGCATTTGTTTCCTCCCTGCCTTTCTTGTCCACTCATCGGGATTCCCTCCACGCGCCAAAGCGCACAGAACACGTGAAAGAAAAATGCTTGAAGGTGTTGCGCATTACCACCAATAATAAAAATGCAACTAAAGTTCTTTTTTATATCTAACTCTCAGAAAATCATATTAGAATTTTCAGTTATAAATTTTTACACTTAAAAATTCTCAGAAAATATTAATATAATTTTTTCTGTTACAGTTAAAAACTTTTAAAAAATTACACATCTCAACTTAAATAGAAAATTCGAATTCACAAAGTGAACGATGCCTAAATAATTTGTAATTTGTAAATAAACATTTACAAATTTATGTTTATTAAGAAGATAAGTTAATGAAATGGTTAGATATAGAATTAAAATTTTTAGGAAAAATTTTATTTTGATACCCTGTGTTATATCAAAATATGAGTTTAGTATCTTCTGTTTTTAATAATTTCATGCCGGTACCTTAATTTGTTAGAAAATATTTTTTTAGTATCTCATGACAGTTTTTTAGGACACGAAAATATAAAATTACCCTTATTATTAAATATATAAAAAAGTTTTTTTTTTTTAAAAAAAATCTTAAACTTGAAATCAAGATTTTTGCTTTATGTTTAGGGCAAAATAAAGTTTAGGTCTTTAATTACAGGTCTAAGATTTTTTAAAAAGCTTTTTTTATATTTAATAATAAGAGTAATTTTATCTTTTCGTATTTAAAAAATTACCCTAAGGTACCAAAAAACGTAATCAACATTTCTTTCCTTTACTTCTAAATGAATGTAGTCACCATATCCAACCAAGTGCATTGTGGAAATAAACGAAATCAACATTTCTTTCCTTTACTTCTAAATTGATGTAGTCACCATATCTAACAAAGTGCATTGTGGAATTTTAAAAATGGTAGTCAAACTATTAATCGTGAAAAATTTATATAAATTCTGAAAAATTCATAGATGTATTATATATGCAACACAGATCTCAATTCTTAGATCATTAGAAAAAATATCGTTGACTAAACATATTATGATCAACTGAAAAAATTTCAACCATGCAAATTATTTTCTTAATAATCACAACATAGTTGAATACACCTCTATACTACAGTTTTTTTTTTTTCTCATTTTCTGTTTTCTTAAGTATATATAATGTAGCTTCTTTCACTAATTACTACTAATATATGATTTTATTAATATTTGCTGTCCAAAGTCAAACAAAATCACCATTGATACTCCAACGGGTGCCTTGTCACGCGGGCAAGGTGGGGCCATAGCCTCACACTCCTTTCTTATTGGGTCAGGTCTCCGAAGCTGGCGAGTGGGATTACCGTGAAGTGGATCAAATCATGGGGCCCAGCCCAACCCGAGATCTACTTTGTGGGCTTTACCGGGACGCGTGTCCGGAGGCAAGAGCGTCTCTCATGAGCATGAGGAAGTGGGACCCGAAAATAATGGAAAGAGCAAAAGTGGACCCCACACCTCGTGTGTACAGTATTTGCTCTTTTTTCAGGTGGGGACCAGTTCCCTCGGCTCGTGCAACCACGTGGGGACTACATAAGGTTCGAACAAACACGTGTCTAATCCAAATTTCACCAGTCTCTCTCTCTCTCTGTTTTTTTTTTTTAATTTTATTTTCTTGGTTGCTGGGGAATCGCATCGGTGATCGTTGGTTTCTCCTAAACAGCTTATCACTCTCTGTAGTGGCAACCCAAAAATGAAAAAAAAAAAAAAAAACATTTGATCAATAGAAGATACTTCTGATATATTATATTTCTATTCATTTTCATCATACGTGCACATATATATATATATATGTGTATGTTTTTTGAAGGGTACTTTTTATTTAATCTATAACACAATTCCAAGTTGATTTAACAATTTGTATTGTATTATTTTGGTTAACTAGTTTTTATGTACTTTTCCCTTGTTTGGTTCACTAATACAGACTGAATTTTCAATGCGAGTGGCGAACCATATTTAAATCCTTATTTAGTGTTAGTTTAAATTTTATTATCTGTTTAAATTAAATTTAAACTGTTCAACTTAAAATTTAACTTCCCTTTTATTTTAACTTTTTAAACTATTTTTGAACACTAAAAATACGTTTACTCTTTTCGCTGCACACTTTTCTAAACACAAACTTAAATTTTATTTTCTATTCATATTCACATTTTAATTGTTAATTTAAAAGTCAATTCAGACTATACTTTAAATCACACATTATAAATTTTACCGTTTAAATAAAAAATTTCAAATTAATATAATTCAAACCAACAAAAGGCTTTCAAAATTCTAAAAAGAGAACGTTCATTTCACATGAGACACAGATGAATAAATGATGGCTTGTTCTTTTGTGACGAAACTCAGAAAAAGTTTAAATTTGAGTTACAATTTTATTTAAATTCACGTTCTTTTGTAAAATTTGAGTTTGAACTTGAGTTTAAGGCTAAACTCGAGTTCAAGTATTCCCTTCAACTCGAGTTCATAAACTTGAACTCAAGTTAATGAACAGTATTTTTTCTATTCTTAAAAATTTCATAACTTTTTCGTTTTAATTCTGATTGAGATGATTTTTTTTCTATGCATTCATAATGAAAAGACGAATAAAACCCTACCTATATACCCTATTAAAATTTTTCATCACCATTGAATTTTTATTAAAATATTATCTAAATACAAATTTAAGTTTTGATCCACCAAAACACAAACTCAAATTAAAGATTCTCAATTGAAATCATAACTCAAATGTGTACATCCAAACACAAACTCAAATTACAACTTCAACTCAAGTTATAACTCAAACTCAACTTAAGATCATCACTCAAATTATTCTAACTCAAAAATGTAAAAGAACAACCCCTGAGTAACTACAGAATGCTACTCTTGTAGTCAATCTGGTCCGTTGGTTTTGTCTTTTTTTTTTCTTTGTGTTTTATGTTAAAAAAAGAAAAAAGAAAAAAGATAATTATACAGTGCTACTCTGGCACACACTATTATCGTGGAAGTTGAACTCCCATGACAAACTATGGCCCGCCACGTGTTATATCTGAAGCTCACCCACAATGTGATTAAAAAGAAAAATAAAAAGAACCAATGGTCACTTTGATTTGATACGAATAGGGTCCAAATTTGGTTAAAAAAACACTAGTATTTTATTATTTTATTACTGTGATTAGACTATACTCCAATACTAGTGGACAAAGAGCAGGGGAAAAGGAGGTGACACCTGTCCCTGGCCCATCCGAGGAAGGTCGTACTGTATGGGGGGGATTTGGGACCATATAATTGGTCCAACCTATTTTATATTTTTAAATAATTTGTTTGTAATTGTGGTAAGAGATAACCCACAGAAATGGAAAAACAACTTGTGGTTAATGATGACCCACGTCTAATTAGGTATCGTTGAGGACTAAAATAGCATTTAAAGCATATTCTAATCGGGTACTTGGATTAAGAGAAAGATCAAAATATACATGTGACGTTTGTAATTAGACCTAAACCTGTTACCATTAATATATATATATATAGTAGGACCTAGTCGTTTAACTTTTTGTCACAATAATTTTTGATTGACACACGTGTGTTGATGTCTTACTAATAGTATTTACTCATTACATATGTGTAGAAACAGTGAACTAGCTTTTTATTTAAGTGGAAAGCGTATA